GAGTTGGGGGTAGACAAGAGGGGCTGAGGGGGTTTTGGATACGGCACAGGAACACGCTCGCACACGCTCAGTCATTCACTCACCCAGCTTGTAGCCAGCCAGTCAGTCAGTCAGTCAGTCAGTCAGTCAGCCAGGCAGACAAAGAAGAGCAGCATCCTGCAGGAGGACCGCACGCTCCCGGGGGATGGGGCATCATACCCCTGCATCGCGTTTGGGGGTCAGGAGGAGGTAGGAGCATCAGGGTTAGGGGGGCTTTGTCTCAGCAGCAGAGTTCCCCTTACATGCACACATACACACACAGAAACATACACACACAAAATCATACTAGCAAACATGCTTTTCTCTTTGTATCTCATGGCTATTAAAGCCATTATCACACATTAATTGATTTGTGGTGGTTTTATGTGGGTCATCAGACTTTTCCTGTAGACTGGTGGCTGGTCACTGATGGACGCTCCTGCACTTCCTCACTGTGATCTAAGCTCTGTAGAGACAGCCAGTCTGCCTGACAGCCTCTTAACAGCTTTCATCTTCTTGCAGGCTATGCAAATCTCACAGACACTTTTTGCGGTCTTGTAATGCCAGCATGAGAGGATCAATATGTTCTCTTGTGATGGGCGCAAAGTGCTGAATTTGTGTTGTTATGGTGTTGACCGGCTCTTTGCAATGTATTGCAGGCTGCTTGAGCTGCTTTGATGTGCTCTCAGACACACTGGCTTCACCACTTATCATGAGCACGAGGGTTTGTCCGAAAAAAGGACTGAAAGCTTGATTGTCGTGGAAGTGGAAGAGGGGTTAAGAAGGATTGGAGTGGGGGGTGCTTTCCATCGCACCCTTTCACTGATGGATGGCTGACTCCTCTCAGCAAGACAGGGACTGAAGGCATCATTACCAGAGGGGATTCCCTCCCCTCTCCTCACATGAGGAGGCAATAGGAAGCAGACTGTGGGATGTAGGCTAATGACTGCATACGGGGCAGGCCGGCTTTGGCAGCAGCGATGCTTTGTTTACAACCAGGAGGCATTTCTGCCTGACTTGGTTTCAGCTATAGGGCCATATGAAATCCATTTTGAAATTAGTTTGATTCTGTCATATTGTCCTCAATTATGTGTTTTCCAGTTTGGTCTTACTAAAAGTTTTTTTTGTTCAAGTCTATTTTAATCATGTCTAATATTTGGAGTTACAATGTTAAAATGTATTCAGGCAAAATCTACAATATTACCAGTTTAATGCCATTTTTATCATCACATATTGCCATCCCCCTAAGTGTCTTTCCTACTATGTATTCACAGGGCCCTAGACTCAGCCTTTCTAAATAGAAATATGGCTATATATTTACTAAGTTTATGTTTTCTAACTATGCTGAAAGTCTGTTAGTTGCATCTTCATTATGGTGTTTGGCTTTGGATCAGTGTTCATGTTTTATTAAAAATCAGCTGGGCAATTAATTAATTGAGCATTTAGTGATATGAGCATTCGCAGTAAACACATCGCAAACGTCTGAATTCATATCAATAAATCAAAAAACAACTCTAATGTAGCCAAGCAATGCTTTCTCACTTTGCACGTGTGTACATTTGACCTGTGTATAAAGACTATGCTGTCGAACCGCTTTGCTGTAGTCAGATGAAGCTAAAGCTAACTATCAGTTACTCTTATGTATGATTGCATTGATATGAAGGCAAATATTCTCATTATAGCATCATATAGCGGACTCTGTTACTTTGTCGTCTACTTCTGCATCTTTTATTTACGTCTGACCCCCCCCCCCGTCTGACAGCTGTGAGGTGCATATGTGAACAGCCAGGTCAGGAGAATATCCAGAGCAGTCCTCCTGAAACTATCTAGATATTTTTGGGAGTGTATGTGAAAATGGCTTTAGATTAATTAGAGCCAATTAATTAGTGAAGGGAAAGAAAAGGGTTTTGGGGTTATTAAGTATTACAGAGGGATGTGTTGCAAACCCAGGTGTTCTGTAAAACATGAAGAACAGCAGACAGACAAACTGAGTTAAAGCTAATGCACAAATCATTTTTGTTTATGGTCAGTCATATCATTATCAGAATAGTGCACAATGTTATCACGCATTGACTATTTTTCTCTTATCAGGCAGGCCTTCTTGTGATGTTTTTTAAAAAAATTGAAATTATTAAAATATTATAGCCAAATTCAACATTATTATAAATCCTCATTTTAGCAAGCCAAACTCGCACTTCAAACTCCTTGTTGTATGACAGATTTATTTACTCGCCTATGAAAGGCCATTAAGGGCGGTTCTGCTTGAGTCTTTTGAAGACATATGGTTCAGTAAGATTGCAGTTTGTTTTCACGTCTTCTTTGTAACAGTATGCTATCGAGCTTTGCTTTAACCGCTAATCCGTTCAAAAGAATAATGAAGCGGAGGAGGGGGAGGAGGAGGAAATAGCTTAAGAATTGCGGTGTAGCGTCAGAGTTGCTCCTTATTTAATTACTTCCATCACACCCTCTTACCCTCCATCCCATTTAAAAACCCTCAAACTGCTCACTCAACCTTCACCCCCCACTCCCACTCTGGTCCCCTTCAACCTCCCCCTCTTATAACTTAATGCTCACACCTCTAACCTCTAGGCTAGAAATTCCATCCTCCCCGTTTTGGCCTCTCCTTTCAGCTCTGTTACATCAGCTGTCATGCTGTTTGAAGCCCCCCCCCCCACACACACACACACACACACACACACACACACACACACACACACACACACACACAGTCACACAGTCACACACACTACCCCCCCCCCCACCCCCACCCGATAGCCTCTCAAGTTCTTGATTAGTGTCTAGCTCTATTTCCTGTTCTACCAGAGCACCACTTCCTCTAAAACTTTTTGCTAATATTGCTGAATCAAAGCGTTGTCTTCTTCTTTTTCTCTCCACACATTCAAAGATCTCTTTTGCCCCCCTTCCTCTTTGCATCTCATCACCTGTCATGCCAGATTCCTCCTGTTTGTCATCTTTCTGGAGAGTGTGAATGGATAGCAGCAGCACCAAGTGATGAACCTTTTAAACAAGCTCTTAGGGAATAAGCCTGAATCATTCATTTGTGCTTTTACCTTTATATGTTATTACTTACAAGAAAAATCTAATTCCGATGATTGAGATACTGTTGATCATATAAACACGTTATCTAAATGTTTGCACTGAAAGATTTTATTAAGGGGATAGAGACTCCAAAAGGCTTTATTCAATAGACATAACTTCTACTCAAGTCAAAGAGTCGTGGTGTTTGTAATCTTTGTATCAACATCTGTGTAAGGAAGTTAAAGTCACATTTAGATCCGCCTTCCTAAATACTGTAGAATAAATAGGTGTGTTTTTGTTTCTGTGAAACGTTCGATGTGGTAGGAGAGAATACAAATGTCAACCAGCCAATGTGCCTCTTTATTATAAATTCAATAAGCTTAATACGCTTCCTAAATAGCTTCAGTTTCTTTGTGAAATCTTAGAGCTGAGTAGAGAGTTTATTTCAATCGGCTCCTAGATTTAGAATATTTCTCTTATGAATCTGTGCATGAAAATAAGCAGACTTCCAAAGAGTCTTTCATTTCCCAGCTGACGCTCATATCCTGGAGCGGATTTGTGTAAAGCAGAACTTCAGCTTTAGGATAAATGTACAGCAATGAGTCCAATTGCATCGTACGGCAGATAGAGCTTTAGTATTAGCGTAGGTGGGATTTCAGCAAAGAGATGAGTCAGACTTAAAATAAGGTATTTCTCAAGGTTTGTCGATCACATTAATTACCTGAAATGTAGTGATCAGAAAGTAGTTCAAAATGAAAGCAACAGGGTCTCATTAATCAATGTAAAGAACACTCTCATCTTTTAAATATTTTTTAAAGGTTTATTTTGCCCTTCTGTGCCTTTATGTAGAGTTGGACAGAGTCAGAAACCGGACAAGGGAGAGAGTGGGGAACGACATGTGGGAAAGGATCCACAGGTCGGACACAAACCCGGGCTACAGCCTCTGTTCATTGGGCGTGTGAACCAGCCACTAGGCTACCGGCTCCCCCTTAATAGATATTTTTTGAAATATTTTATATTCCAAACATTTCAACAAGGACAATAAGTGTGGCATAATGAATAGTGAGCAGGAAGTTGTTGTAGCCCAACGAGGTTAGACAGAAGAGTAAGACAGATGAAGACGAGATCTTCAACCAGTCTTTTGGTCAAGCTTTGAATTTACCATGACCTGGATGACTGTGAACCTTCACAGACCAGGGTAAGACAGGTTCGCTGTGGAGTTTTGTCTCACCCTGAAGGGGTTCCTCCGCAAGAACAACCTTCTCACTCTACATTATCCCCTTTTTACATGGCTACTTACGGTACTTACCAAGGAAATCAATCATTTGAAACTAGATATTGATTTGGAATCTTTTTTATCGATTTAAAAAACGATTGAATTCTCCACTCAACAAAGTCTTTAGAAGCGGTTAACTGTATCTGGCTGTTATTACTCACATTAAATGAACATTTCCACCGATGGTGAAGTGAGACCCTTTTGAGTGTGAGACAGGGTGAATGAATCAGCACAGCGCCTGAATGACTTTTTCTGCCTCGTCGCTGTCAGTCTGTTGACATTTCCCGGTCCTTTCACCAATCTTCAAAAAACCCTTCCTTATCTCATACCGTGTAACGTTCCTTGTTTACTTTAATGTGCCATCTCTAGCTTTGTAGATTTCTGTGTCATAGCCTGCTATTTATGCATCTTTTAGCATCTTTTCTCCGTTACTATCATCTCCTGTCTCTTTTCTCTCGACCGGTTGTAAACTGTAAACTGTTGATAGGTAAACCTTGTATGAAAGCAGCATTTCTTCTTCTGTTATTCTGGATTTAGGAGGAACTGCATAAAGAACGATGAATAGCTGAAGGCAGTATAAAGAATGTGATTGTGGTTTGCGTATATTTTCAGGTTATGTAAGCTTGGAGCATTTTTCTCACGTGCTCTTCCTCTGTCCCCTCTTCAGGCACAGGAGGGCCATTCAGAAGAGCCGGGGGTCAAAGGTGAGAAGAGCAGAGGGCACCATGGAGAGTGAGCCAGGGGCCCCTGCAGGAGGGACCTCCAACACCACCACAACCACCTCCACCTCCACCTCCACCTCCTCCAGCGCCTCAGCCACAAGCAGTAGTACTACCTCTAACACTACTTCTACAGCTGCTACTACTACTTCCACTGGTCCTGGCAGTAATACCAGTAGTGGCAGTATTAGTTGTAACACTGGCAGTAGTTCCAGTAGTACTACTACAGCAGGCAGACAGGCGGTGCCTCAGATATCTGTTTACAGTGGGATACCTGACCGACAAACAGTGCAGGTGAGCTCCTTGTTGTTATGAGATTGTTGACTTAAATTGGGGAATTTTATGAGACACAAACTAGGACCTTTGTGCCAATCAGGCATCTGATGTGCTCCTGAAATGAAATCTGATGATTATTTTCTTATTAGAATTAAATCAATTTAGAAATGAGATAAACCTAAATAAAAAGTTATTTCTTAAGAAGGGTCCAAATTGAAGGCAGGAATGTTTCTGTGCTTAGTGCTCTTGACCCTTTGACCCCAGTGTTAAGCCTTCCCCTCACCCTGAATGAGGTCCATGAGTTTAAGTGCTGATGCTTTGACAGCAGCGGAGTTTTTGTTACATTCAGCCGTCTTTCTGTGCTCTCATTCTTCTGACAGTTAAAAGGCAAACACTATTATCACTGTGAAGCCCTCTGAGCTGAAAGAGGTGCTGGTCAGTGAGAGTTGAATGCCTTTTGTGAAGAGCATCTCTGCTAAGTCGCCCTCAGTCCAAAAGGAGTGGGTGTGGATATTTCTGTGACACTTTGGACGACAGGTCAATATCCTCTGTGGTTATTTTGCAACTGGAGGTGAAGGGTGGGGAGAGTCATGTCTAACGGCTCAGCTCCAGAGGATCAGTTCTGTCATATTTAGTTTGAGGAGACTTTTCCTGCAGAGAATGATTTTGGGGACTTTATGTCAGTTTGCAGTGATAACCAGTTATGGACATTTTGTATGCTTTCACTCCTAAGCTAGCACACTTTGTATTTCTTGAAGAAATTCAATTTCTTTCCACAACTCTTATCATTTTATAACTTGGCTAGTATAAAAAGGCTGTCCCAAAAGCAAGCGATGCGAGCTAGCGTCATCGACAAAATCAGCTTAGTTACATTGTTTCCTGTTGGAGCGTTCTAACTGGTCGCGAGTGAAGCAGCGCCATTTTTACTGCGATGCCCCGTTTCTAGTTTCCTTCTTTGTCACTCACGTAGGCAGACGAGGACTGAGTCGACTCTAAACGGCACTGACATTCGCTTTTCTCATTAAACAGAGCTCGTTAGCTTCTTTTTTATAAAAGTGGAGATAGTGGTGCATTAATAATATCCACATCCGCGATTGAAATGTTGTGCTTTGACTGTCAACACCAGAAAATAAACTTTTTATCGGCTCACTTCGAGCTGTTTATTGAAGAGCCTCTGAGTGTAGTGCTCTGAGTCAGCAGCTCATCAATACAAAGCCCCACTCATCAGTTTGTCCACCTTCAGTACAAAAGCACTAGATGTCGTACTTTTTTGCAAGGAGAAAACTGAAACTCACCGAGCAGAGAATTCAATAACTGATTAAGTGTGGACAGTGATGCTTGCACATACTCGCGTGCTGTTAGGACACGGTCTAAGAGTCCAGTATGAACTTATCACAGTCCTGAACTGATTCATTTGAAAGTAAATGTAGAGGCAGCTAAAGTCGGTGCTACTGGTTTCATTCACAAGTTGATGTGCAAAGGAAGCCAGTGAATTTAGAGCAGATGATGGTAAGCCCAAAAAGTATATATTTATTATGTAGTGTTGTTTGCCTCCTCTGTGCTAAGGTGTGGATTAATGTTTGGACCCAGAATCAGAGGAGGGATCTCACATGAATGAATTAACAGAAAAGATTTAATCCACAACTTTGTAATATCAATGACTACTTTCAATTACATCTGTCAATGGAAGCACAGAACTGAGATGTCTGTGAATCTGGAGCGAAATAAAAGATAAAAGACAAGATAAAAGCACTTCTTTTTTTTAAAAACGTATAGATATTTAATGAACGGTAACGAGATAACTCTTAGTTGCATCAGTGCAGCAGTATAATCTCTTTCATCTCTGTTTTCTTATTTGCGCTTTTTTTTCAACATTTCTTGTGCATGCTATGCTTCATTACTCAAGCAGCTCTGTCTGTGTGTGTATGCAGGTGTTCCAGCAGGCGTTACACAGGCAGCCGAACACAGCAGCACGCTACCTGCAGCAGATGTACGCTGCTCAGCAGCAGCATCTGATGTTACAAACAGCAGCCCTCCAGCAGCACAACCTCAGCACTGCTCAGCTCCAGAGCCTGGCCGCGGTACAGCAGGTCAGCAAACAGTCCTCACATGAAAGACTCACTCTCACAGGGTAAAGATAATGCTGATAAGTGCAAGCAAGTTCCAGGAAATGTTCAATTCCTCTCTTTCACCTTTTGATAGGCCAGTATCGCAGCTGGCAGGCAAAGCTCTTCACAGAATGGCAATTCATCCCAGCAAACAGGATCAACTCAGGCTACGGTAAGTGTACATTTGAGTATTTAGTTTTCTTCTAAGTCCCTCTTAAGTTTAAGTTTCTTTTATTTATTACATTATAACTGATCTGAGGTTATTTTAAAACCAAGATCGCCTTGTGCTAATCTCTATTTACAGATACAGGGGTCTGTATTGTCAGCATGGGGCGGTGCTTTGGGTTCAGTTTGTTGTACAGTTAGTCTGAGCTCTATTGACCAATCACGGATCAGTAGACTTTGATGTAACGTTATCAATGCTAATGACTTACCAGCGCCAATCAGCTGTTATCTAACGATGATTTCTTGATCTCTATAAACTGATATCTGGATTAAAGTGCCGCTAACATTATAGATCAAACATTTTAGCACGAGCGACAAATCTGCTTGACGCTGTGTCACGATAGACAATCAGCGTTTAGATTTCCCAACTCCCTGAAAAACGCATCAGTTGTGTTTGAAACAACCTCCATTTATCAAACATTTCTCTCTTTTCCTTTTGAGGACAGACCTGACAAAGCCATAATGGTTTGTTTACTTTTTAGAAATCTGCCTCATAATGGTGTTATTTGGGCAAAGTTAGTTCTGCCTTCACCAGAATAACGCCGAGATTAACATCCTTTCCAGAGGCATCTATCGTCTATCAGGCGTGAATCGACGATGATTTCTGATGGGTTCAGAGATTGGCTTTCGGGGAAACTGAGCGCAGCCAGCTGCTCTTGCTGCTTTTATTTTGTTTTCTGAACTTGAAATGAGTCACGGTGACATTCTGCTGGAGTAAACAATTAATATTAATTTCTGTATCTTGTGTGTTGGGCATGTAACTGTTAACAGAGTATAGTTGTAATAATTAGCCTACCTAACCAACCTGTTTATGTTCTTCCCACAGATCAACCTGACCACCTCCCCAGCTGCAGCTCAGCTGATCAGCCGAGCTCAGAGCATTAGTTCTACCCCGACCAGTATCTCCCAGCAGGCTGTTCTGCTGGGCAGCCCGTCCAGCTCCACTCTCACAGCCAGCCAGGCACAGATGTACCTGCGCGCACAGATGGTGAGACTGCACACACAGAACATGGCCACTGGCACATTGACATGAGTGTGAATATTTACATAGACACACACACACACACATCAACACACACACACACACACACACACACACACACACACACACACACACACACACACACACACACACACACACACACACACATCAACACACACACTTACTGCTTGAATAACTAGGTACACAATGTCTTCTTTTTCCTGGACACTAATTGTATGTTTTTAGATTAGTGAACGTGTTATGCGCACATGCTCACTCCCTCACAGGAAGTGGGGGTCTTTAATCGTGCCAACAGGGGAGTTTGTCAGGATGACTCGTCCAATCCCAGAAGGCTTATTAAAACACAGAGGGGGAAATGTCTTGTGTGTAGATTGCGTGTGGATAGAGAACATTTTCTAGAGGTCAGGAGTTTCTCTCAGCTGTAGCTTCAGGTCCAGTTTTTTTTTTAAAACAGATCTGCTTGAGGATATATATACCATCTTTACTGGGCTATTCTTGTGAAGCTACTTGTGGCTAACTTGTCATTTTCATTTTCCATCAGTTGTACAGCTGGCACACAGACTGCTCCTGCCACTTCATTATGACCAAGTGCAAAGTATTTTCAGATGTGTGAAATTCTTCTGGCAGACGGAAACATGTTTGTCAGTTATGATTGCTTTGGGTTTTAGTACTCATGTAGTCTCCAGGCAATAAATCAGCTCATATGATTTGTATTAAAGCTTACACATATATTCTTTTACATGCCTTTTATTTCAAGACATTTAATTAGATATGCACAGCAGTGTTTAACACTAAATGTTGCATCCATACGACCGTTCAAACAAATCATTTTACAGATGGAAATAAAAAGATGAATGTTGTCATAGCACAAGGATCACAAAGGATCAAAATCATTTCATATTCCGTCCTGATCCAATTGTCTCACAATATGATAAACACAGAGGGTCTTCACATCATATTAGAACAGAATGGATTTAAAAACATGGATAAGGTGCCATGTTAATGGTAAGATGGAAAGTAAATCACAGTTAATTAAGTGAAAATTAGATGAATTAATTCAGATGAAAATAAACGCATTACCTAACATGCAAAGTTAATAATCACAGAGTTAAAATTAGGACATAGATGAAATTATGATGAATGAAAGGTATTACATACGGAGATTTAACTTGTATAAACTGATGAGTGATTTTAATCAGAAAAGCAGAGTGCCATATGAAAGTAAAATACTTCTTTTAATTATTATTTTTTGCCTTTTATTAAGTCAGGACAGCTGACGTTGGACAGGACATGTGGTATGAGATAGTGGGGATGTGATGCACCAAACTGCCTCAGGATTATTAATCGTTGGGGACTTTTTCCTCTTTTCATGAAGCTCCTGCTCTACCAACTGAGCTTAACCAGCTTCCGACGAATGAACTCAATTTAAAAATAATCGTAGCATTACAAAGAAAAGTTAAAAAAGAAGGGAGGCAAAAGTGAAGCCGAGTTTTTAACTTTCTGTTTTACCATTACTTCTCCTATTTTATTGGTGATTAAATAAGAATACAAACCCAGAAGCCTTTCTGACTGAAACAGTTCCCTGTTTGTTAATTATGTGTGCGTGTGTGTGTGTGCGTGTGTGGGGCTCTTTCCAGGCTCAGCAGAGTAACCTGGTGCAGGTGGCCCGGAGCCTTGGTCGGGCTGTTCCTCTGTCCCCACAGCTCATCTTCACTCCAACAGCCACAGTGACTGCTGTCCAATCAGAGAGCTCCACACAGGCCTCCTCACAGGTGAGGTCACTATTTTCGTTATGTAAAGTAAAGGGGCCTGTTATGCTTTTCCTTATTTTCTTTCCTAAAGATAACTTATGTTGAAGTTGTCCCTGTAACTAAAGTGCACGGCTTCAGGTCGCTCTCATACTATATTTTATTCATGCACTTATTATGCGTACCTTTAACTTAATTGTACTGTAACAATTCTGCTACTAGACAGTTAAGAGTTGGGGTCTAATGGATTTTTTGAAATGGCATTTAATGATGCAAAACAATATAAACAGTATAATCTTGAGATGCGTCATTGATTTGCAATTAAATCGTTGGCTAAGGAAGAGAAGTTATTTTGTATCGATAATTTCCAATCATTATCTTTTTATTCTTATTTTTAAAGAATCAGGTCCAGAATCTGGCCATCCGTGGCCAGCAGGGGGCGACCACAGCCTCCTCTCAGACTCACACCCTGCAGGCTCTGAGTCTGAAGCAGAGCCCTGTGCCCATCCAGCCTGCCTCAATGGTCAAGAATCCCAGCCAAGGCACGCATGCCTCTGCAGGAGGGAAGACCAGCTCCTCAGACGGTTCATCTGAAGGGAAGAAGGGGGACAGTTCGGCAGTCACAGAAGTCCGAGCTATTAACATGAGCCGCAATGTCACAGCTGTCAGTGCTCAGTCCCTGATCGCTCCAGGTCAGTAAAGTCCGCCATCCAACAGTCTGAAAAGTTGTTCTTTTGACTAAAAACAACAGAGATTAGAAATATGGGTATATAGTTTAATCACTCTTCACCAATTTATACTGAAATATAGCTATTTAGCTATATTTAAAAAAATCCTTTTCACATCTTGCCTCCCTGCTAGCCTGTGCATTCTCTGAAAATCTGCACAGCTCAGCTTTAAATGTATCACTGGATGCAGCTCTACAAGTATCCAACCTGAATACTCTCAGCCGCTCACAGGCAATGTCTGCAGTGCCAAGTTTTGATAAGTTTCACAGCTTATCACACTTACACAGCTAAAGTGAGCTTAGAAGTCTTGTTTGGACCCTGATCATTTTACACATTAAACTGTAATCAAAGGATTGCCTAAAAACTTAACTTAGATGAAATATATTTAATCTGTGCACCCCTTTAAAGCTTAACTAAACTCCAGAGTTTCAGAAAGTGCATCTACCCTGAAATTTAAAAAAAAAAAATGCCATTGGAACATCGACATATAAATGTGGATGAGGCTCAGGGGAGGGGGGTAAGACACGCCCACTCACACCTTCAGACGGTTACCATCAGCAGCAACATCATACAGTCCATGCCACATACAAACATGCACACACACATGCATTAACTATTAGCAAGATTAGCTAGGTTATTTAGCCAATAGCTAGCTGAGGTAATTTTTACCGGGTTTGGTGGCGATAACCTTATACCACATTCAGATTCAGATTCTTTATTTTACCACAAGGGGAAATTTGCGTTGCAGCAGGAGCACACAGAATACAAGAAACACAATGACAACATCACTGTAAAACATAAATGAAAACGAATAGAGAAAAATGTAAAAAAATCTCCATTCTGGCAGACAATGTTGAAAAACAATATTGCGATAATAAGGGGTTTGAATCAGACACACATCAAACCCAGTTACAGACTTAAAACAGACAAAAACGTCGACGGACACGACACACGAGCTGCTGGTTGCCACAAGAGCAGCGCCCGTACATCCCCCAGAAGAGAGGACATGCGTCACAAAACACCAGATCTGCCAATAGAAAAATTTAACTGCAGTAACGAGTTTCAACCAATAGAGGGCAGTCGCTCTGCATATTTCTAACCCAATATGTTGAAGATCAATTCTTTTTACTTAAATGTCGAGATTTGGAACCGGATTGATAAAAAAAAACAACAACACCGTATATCCACATGCAGAGGTTTTCAGCTGGAAATTAAGAAGTCTGTGGGTTAAAGTTACTCTTTAAGTATTGTATAGCCATTGTTTTTGCTTTTGTATGCTGGCAGGGTTGATTGATACTTTGCCTGAAAAATTAAAGAAATTATTTATCTACTGTCAAATACTTGTAAATAATCATTTGTTTGATGGACTTGTGTATTTTAAAACTTAGTGTTGGCTTTTATGACTATGGCAAACCCCAGTATTCCCTGTAGCTCTACCGGAATGTCAAACCGTTCACTTATCCTGTACATTACCATGAGATCTCCTCAGTCGACTGGTTAAACTAGAGCAGTCATTAATGGTTCTCTCTAATCACTTTCATTAGTCCTTGACTATTTTTAACCGTACTTCATCAACCAGCATGGTGATGATGGAAATCATTTTACCTGTTAATCATCACCAGCATGGCAGCATTGACTCTGTTAGCATGTTAATGTTATCATTTAGCTGTAAACACTGCTGTAGGTTAGTTTAGCTTTAGCTTTGCACATCTGTAATCATGACTGTAGTTTCTTGGTCTGGTCTACATCTAACAATCCACAGTGGTCACACTGTAAATGACATGTACCTTTTATGAACACTGACACCTCTTTGGTCCAAGTTTATTTTCATTTTTGCGAGTAGATAGATTCTACTTCCAGATTGCCTGCTTGCTTATTTCTTTGTGAAAGATGTCCATTGTAATCCTTGAAGTAGACTGAGGGCTTCAGGCAACTGTCACATGTACAACAGAAATGTGATCTTCTGTTTATAGTAAGATAAGATGAGAAAGGCTTTTTACATGTCACCCTCCTAATAGCTTTGTGTGAGTGTGGCATGTCGGGGCCTGAATCAAATACCCATTGAGTCAGTTACGGGGTGAAATCAGCCGTATTACAGACGGCGTGTTGAGCTGTGTCTGGAACACTCGAGCCGCTTTGTGAATTAGAGGCTGTGAAAGGCACACTGCCACGCAAGAGTCCTTCTAAACCACTTATTGTGTAATTGAAAGTCAGCAGCTGTTTCTTTTCCTTTTTTTTTTAGTGTGTGAAGAGTTGTGTAGATGCCAGCAGTACAGGCTGATTAGATCAAATTAAGTTCAGTTTGTTTGCAGGAGAAACCCCTTCACATGCTTTATCTCATTCCCCTGATGACACATCACATTGTGCAAAATGTTTTTAGAAAGAACCTAAAATACGTGTTTGCATGCAGCTTATGTGTACTGTATGTCCTGTATACACTGCAGTGTGTTAATGCATTGTATTGTTTGTATATGCCGATTCTGATGTGTGTGTGTGTATGGTTAGGGTCTTGTGCCTGGTAAAGGAAAAGGGGTGTGTGTGTGTGTGTGTGTGGGGGGGGGATTATCTGAGCGTGTCAGTGCACAACAGTCTTGCTTTGTTGCAGTAATGGATTCACATGAAATGAAAGGGAGGATGGAAGCTGAAAATCTGGCTGCATGCTCTCTGAAAAAAAAAAAATTAACATTGGTTACCATAGCAGCAGGCCATTAGGGACAGGTGTGCACATGAGATGCTGTGGAGTTAATACAGTGTGAATGAGGAGGAGGAGAGGTTTCACGGCTGCCTGATGGGATCAGATCAGGTTCAAGGCTTGGGTTCTTGACTCTGCATGGGTCATTAGTACACTTTGATTTTCAACACAAACTCAGTTTGGGTGTTGACTTGCTACTGTCTTATGTAAATCTGATATTTCACGCATAATTCCATACTGGATGTTCAGTGTCCTGTGAATTAAACCAGTAAATTAGCGTCAGGAAACATGACATCTGACTGGTGTCTGATGCACAGTGTCAAATTTTATTTTTTTTTTTTTATAACCTTGGCTTTGATTAGTAGACTATAATTATAAATCTGCTCTGTGTATATTAAGTCAGTTTTATGTTTTCTGTTAATAAAAAGAAGGGGAAAAAAAGTTTAAAAAGTGATTCATTCCTATGTAAGTTGTAAAATGCATTTAGGAGCAGCACCTCCTACGCTACATTACTTTAGCCCTACATCTTTAATGGCTCATACTGGGCTGACACATACTGGCATAATGCAAAATGAAACTAGTATTACCCACAAAGAGTCTCAATTATGAAGAGATCCTCTAAAAAGCCCTCTGAGTCATGCGTCATTGATTTTAATGCCATTTGTTTAGAGTTAATATGAGAGGACTGAAAGCTTAGGGGAAATAGTTTTTCCACCCCAAAAATGAAATGAAATGAAAGGAAGAGGTTGAAAAGCTCAATTACTTAAAAAATAGAACCTGTAGAAAGTATCAGTGACCTATGGAGCCCCTGACGTCAAAACGAAAAAGTAAAAAAAAAAATATTTTTTACTGAAGATCATATCTTGTGTGCACAATAGATTTTTTTTTAGTAACCACACTGATGATCAAACATTATTTTTATTTGATAACATGTTATTTATTTGATTCCCCATCAGCCCCCATGAAGAGCAAACAACTAAACAAATCATCATAATTAACAACAATTTTCGACTCAAAATCCAAAGTAAAAGGGGAAAGAAAAGCAGAGAAATCACTTGGCGTTCAGAGAGAACAGCAACAATAGAAGACGAGTGCTATATTGAGTTAGCTATTTTTGGTTGTCAGTTTTCATCTCCTTCCAAAGAGACAGCAGACAGTTTTAGATTTATGCTTTTTGTTTCTGACAGTCACTTAAAAAGTAATCAAGCTGGACATGAAATTTTGGGCCGTCTGGCTTGTTGCAGTAAGCGGTTGTCATCGCCTCATCTTGGCAGGAGAGAGGCTGCACCTTACTATAAAAACCCCAGCAGGGAACCCCCAAAAGCACTGCGCTCTCCCATTTTAAAGAGCAGATCTGCACATGAAGTCGGTGTATTTGTGTTATCTCCGGCTGCTAATGAGGGTACCAGGTGCCAAGTTCATTTGAAAAGGATTACAGAAAAGAAGAAAAAATAAAAACCTAGACCTTCACTTCATGCAACATATTATGCCTGCTAAAAATACACCAGTACTTGAATACTAACTTTTAGGAGGAGACTTGCTCCATCAGTGACTTAAATAGCTTAACAGTAAAGTACAGCTATTGAGATACTGAAGTAATTCACAGTGGACTCATTTCACTTGTTATAACTTGATAAATTGTCTTTAATGAGTTTTTAAGTGAGGAAAGATGTCATTAGACGGGCTTTTGCTCTGATTTGTTTGAGTCGGATTGTGTTTTCTCAAAGTTAGCCAAAGCAGCAGCAGCCAGTAAGAGTGTGGAAACTCAGGATTTTCCAGGGCTCGGTGCTATAAACTCATCAGAAACATATACTGTCATCTGTCCCCAGACTTTGCACAATAATACACGGACAGTGTAAGAGGTCTGCATATTTCAACAACTTCCGAAGAGTAGAGGCTCCCTGCCAAGCTCTAAAGATTGTATGACAGCCTGTGTTTATACATGTGTGGGGGCGTGAGGGCCTGAGTCATTCCTGTCCTTAATCCCAAGACCTTGAGGCGGAATAGCATTTCGATGAATTCCCTCGTCTTCTTTTTTTCTTCCTCTCTGTTCCTCATTAGGGGCTTGAGAAAGTTGTCGGGATTCATGAGGAGGGCTCGTCGCATCCGGTGCACTCTGATTCAGAAATTCCCCCTCCTTCATTCGGACAGGGTCTGGGAATCTATCACTACTGTTTTATGATGAAGCTAGATTTTATAGCAGCTACTGTTCAAGTATCAAATTAATCTCTGTCATTATGAAGCAGTTTTTTCTTTCTTTATAAACATATTTACTCTGTTGACATTCAGGATTAAAAGGGTTATGTGGACAAACTTGTATTACTATTCATGAGTTGTAGAGTGCAGATGTTGCTGCAGAGAGAGTGTGTTGTATATTGTTTTTAATGTGAGTGACAGTGGTTGTAAAGCCAAGTTATGAACATGCCTTGATTGAGTCACAGTCACGTTAACCGATTTCAGACTGGAGGAACTTTTCAAAGTTCTTATTGGACGTTTGAAGACCCTGCCCTTCCTTTGTGTTCACACTGTAGGAACCTTGAACGGTTCATGAGAAAACTCTTAGTTCATTAGAAGCCTATTGGGGGGGGGCTCTGTTAGTTCATAGTCTTCTCACTCAAGATGAACCGTGAGGGACCTAATGTGTTGGTCCAGACATGGGTTGTCATGACACAAGAAATTTAAACTTTGATACGATAATAATAAAACTCCAACTATATGGATACCGGTTTGGATTCCCACTGCAACAAAAATAGAAGTCTTCAGCATTCAATATTGGGTATTATTTCTTGTTTTTTAAGGCAAACGCCTGCACACTGTTTGCTTTGTACCAATAAGTTTCCAATGTTTTCTGTAAAACATAGACAGTGTTCCCTCTTACACTAGCAGCAGGTTTTGTTTAAAGATATGGCTGAAGATACATATTTTTTTTAGAGTGTTGGTACTTTTGGATACTATTGATCATTAAAATAATGATTAATAATAATGAATTGGCTGTGGCTCAGTTGGTAGAGTCGGTTGTCTCTCAACCTTCGCTGCAAGAGCTCCTGCAGCTACATGTCCGATGTGTCCTTGGGCAAGACACTTAGTCCCGAATTGCTCCCACTGCTTCAACGGCGGCGTATGAATGTGTATGAATGGGATTAGTTGTTCTGATGGTCACTTTTCATAGCAACCTCTGCAATCAGTGTATGAATGGGTGTCTCTATAACCTCCAGCATTATTCTTGTTCTTTTGAAAATGTAGCTTGAACAAACAAAAGTAAAATGTCCACCTTCTAAGTTTGAAGTCAGCAGAGGGCCGTGGCTCATGGGATGACAATGTTAGTCTATCCGTTTGATTGTTCATCACTTTGTTTCAGACAGAAATCTCTTGACAACAACTGGATGGAAGCGCATGAAAGATTTCCAAAAGTTTCACAGAGCTTTGGGGTTTGGATCCCACTGCTGGTCTCCAGGGTTTCCTCAGTGCCACTATGAAGTTTTGTGTTCTTATTAGAAACCGACTTATGGATTGGAATGAAATTTGGTACACAGCTTGTGTTAACCTCGGGATGAACTTTAAAGATCCCTGAAAGTTTTTTTTCTGTCCAGTGCAATTTTCACAACTACACTTTCATCCATCAGACTCTTTGGATGATGACTAAATAACCACAAAACTAATGACATCACCACCAGCCTTTCTAGGCTTTTCTCTTATCTCTGTGTAGCGAAATGTGAGGATTAATTATCACCTACTCGTCAACTTTGTGTTTCAGATCTCGCTTTGTTGCTTCACTTTCCGAATGAAGTAATATTTGTAATGTGTATTCTCTGTGATGTTTGGTGACTGACAGCACATTTCAACGCGGTTTACAAATTCATCATCAAAAGTTTCATATAATACTACTCACAAATTCAGATATAGGACTTTTATGCACTTAATGCATCTTATAATCTATTGTTTTTGCCACCCCGAGGCCTAGCTGCTGAACCGGTGGATGTTATTATCCCCTGAAGTGTCTGTTCAAATTGCTTTTCAACCGTGAACAATTTTACTGCCAACATCTTATCCTATTATCATGCTGCCGGCAGCATCCATCCATCCATCCAAGCCTGGCATCCGTCCTGTTCTGAACATTGTTAATAATAAAATAACTCCCTGTTCGCCATTGCTAACCAAGTTTTCTCTTGCTGGGTTCCACTGTGTCTCACCACGTGAGAAAGAAAACACTTTCCAGCAGCTCCTGTAGCATTAAAGGAGCTAATGACATGCAAACCCTGCTGGATAGAAACATGTATATATTCCACAGCAGGGTACAGACTGCGGTTAGTGCCTCACAGGGAAACTTTGAAACCAGATGGAGCCTATCCCACACAAAACATCATGAAAAGAAGAGGAGGCTGAGGAGGAAGAAGAAGGTGGGGGCAAGAGGGGATTCGAGACAAATGCGGATGTACTTGGCAGTTTTCCATGCTTGGAGTAATGGCGGGGGGGCTTCACACGACTCGTATAGCACAAGCTTATTGTACAGTGGTGCAGGGGGTCTGTCATTTCTGGTTTGGGCCTCTGTAAAAAGAACGAGACAATTAGTTGTTTATTGTTTCCTGGCAGAGTTGTTGGAGATCAAGGAGGCAGCAGAGATGCCCAGACCTGCTGACTCAACACTCACTCCAAGAAAAGTGTCATGGACAGTCGGCTCTGCATGTTCGCTCCTGAGGCAGCTCTAATATTAGACCGGCCTCGGGCTACTTCCGCTGAACACTCACACGCGCTCCCACAATACAAGATTGATGTGCTGTGTCTTGGGCTGCAGGGCAGGTTATGAGCTCAGGATGTCTTTTTACCCACAGCAGCTCTGACAGGTGATGACAGGCCATTTTGAATAGGTTTGTGAGTAATGCTCAGACCAGAACTTCAACAGCTTTTCAACAAGCTCTTAATATTACATCCTGTCAACAAGGGGGGCTCTCAGGTGAAGCTATAACGCAATAAAACAAGCTGCTTTGTTCACTACTTTAAATGCACACTGAGTTTTGACACATGGTATAAATGCTGCTCATTGTTTGTAAGAAGCTGTAAAAATGTATAAATGTATTTTTCAAATGCCTTATAAAAAATAAAACTTTTGTTAGGAGGGCAGAAGCAGAAGCATTGTTTGTACATGTAGATATGATCATTGACAGTAAGGTTTTATAAATAAGGATCAAAACTTCATGCCAACCCCTCAGAGGTCAGAGCCAATCCTGTCAACAAAGTCTGGATTCGACTCTGTTAAACTAAGGCGCTTCAAGCAGCTGATGTGACTTTAGCCAGCAGGATCAGAGGGCGCTGTTGATGGGACCGAGGGGCAACAACATCAGGGGGCGGGGACTCGAGTTTAACCCAGGTAAAAGTCGGATCACCACGGGTTCAGGTCCGGCATGTGGGTCCTTTCCCACGTCATTCCCCACGCTCTCTTTCCCTGATTGCTGACTCTAACAACTGTCCTGCCTCCACAATAAAGCTATAAAAAGCCCCCAAAATACATCTTTAAACCACTTCTAGGGGTGATATCAAACCCATATGAGGAGAAAAACATAACAAATAATGAACATAGGTCAAATACGAACTGCATGTGAGATAAGAAAACTACACCATACAGAAGTGCTGTTTGCAATGCTGTCTTCATGTCAAAAATCCTGACAACCAGATAAAACATTTACAACCTTTTTATTTCAAGGTTCCTTTTCAGTCAGTGGCTGGTGAAATTAGGACACAACCGTCGAGTCTCCGTTGGTGTTGAACACAGCAGTTAGTTAGCTGAATTCATTAATTATTTAAATGAATATGTCTGTTGTTCTCATTCCAGCATACACGCAGATTCAGCCTCACTCCCTGGTTCAGCAGCACAAGCAGCAGCAGCAGCAGCAGTTTGTGGTCCATCAGGGTCAAGCTTCCCAGAGGACCACGGGGCAGCTGCTGCAGACGGCCTCCATTCAACCGTCACAGCACCCGGTCCCCGTGCTGCCCAAACCTGCTCCACACCAGCCCCCAACGCCCAGCCAGCAGGCCACCATCTTCCACTCCACCATCAGCCCCCACGCGCTCCACACCCCCCTCAACCACGCCAAAGCTCAGCCCGTCCAGCTCACTGCCATCAACCTGCAAATACACCCAACGGTGAGTGCTGTTACACAATCCAAAGTGTCAAACTGCTTATTAACACTAGCTAAGGGACAGCAAGCTTGGTCAAGTCCTTTTGTCAAGGTACTGACTGTGTTTACATCTGGTTCAGGTTAGACAGCTCGGCTCATGTTTGGACAGGTACTGTTATCACCAGGAGCGCCCTCAGTATGCCAGAGTATTATTTAGCTGCCTGAAGAATACGTGTATTTGTGTATCAAATGCAAATACTGTTCATCCTACTGGCTTTGGAGATCCCCTGACTTTTCTGCTTGAGTCGGCATGATCTTCCCATTGGTTGTTTTGGGTGAAATGTCTCATGAGATGACTTGTGATCAAATGTGCTGCACACAGCCTAAAGCTCCCCTTGATAATTAATTTGCTATTGATTTGGTGATCCCCTGACTTTTCTCTTGTGCTTGCAAAAATGGGTTTTATTCCCATCAGCCTCAGCAGTACACTTCGATTGTGAGCGTGGTATAAACCATATGCTAAAATTAGCATGTTAGGATATAACTCGTATTCAATCTTACAGCTGTTGTTTTTGTTTATTTTTAACCTTTTATTTCACAAGGAAGTCCCTTTGTGAGATTAAAAATGTATTTCACAAGAGACATCTGGCCAAGCTAGCAGCAACACAAAACACAAACAATTAAAACAACTCATCCTGGGAGAATCACAACAATTAAAACCAGTGTATGGCAGTACACTCACTGTCTTGTTGAACATGATTTACAGTATTTAAAATGATCCAAAGGCTGGAAAAAGATATTCAAATGTGGATAATAAAGTGTATTTTCCAATGTAAACTTTCAGCATTAAATGAGTAGAGTCACAGTTATGAATGATCTCTGAGGGTGAATACAAGTTGCATGTGATTCTTTTTTTTTTCCCCCCCTCTATTTGTTTCCAATGGGGCATGACTCTCTTTCCTACATTACATCCTGACTTCTTGTGTTTGTTCACATGCTGGTCTTCTTTTTCTTTTTCTTTTTTTTCTTTCTTTTTGTGGGAACCAGCAAAATAAAACCCGCTGTTGCATCAACACCCACTGAATTCATTCCTACTGACACATAATGAAAAAAAAAAAAACAAGTCTTGTGAGTTTGTGATTCTTGGTGTCATATTTTCCCCCTGGTGTGATGTTTTCCGAGCCCGATGGTTTTCGGTTTTCTGACTCAATGTTATTACCAGTCCCTGATTTGTCCTTTCAGCGCCGGCTCTCTAATTTCCCCCCTCTTACCTTTTTATCATACTGTACGTCTTAGGCCTCCAGAATGGTTCATGACTGTAAAGATAAGCCAACGTCACTGGTGGTCAGAGAGACGTGTCCGACCCCTGCCACAACGCAGCAACAGCAGCAACCTCAACAGCAACCACGGCAACAACAGCAATCTGCAGCTGCACCATCGCAACCCCCCAAGACTGTAGAGCAACTGACGGTCAAGCCTGCGACTCCAGCTGTTCAGCCACAAGGTAATGAAAGATTCATCGTGATTATAGAAGCTTCTACATTATGTTTTTTTTTACACTTGTGAAACAATAATGAAAAAATAACTCTACCGTCTTGGCCAAAGGAGCAAAAAATCAACACACACCTAAGCACAGGAGTTGTACTGTTCTACGTCACTATTAGCAAACTCTTTCAGTCTTCATCAGAGGAAAAGTAAACCAATGCTAACTTGTAATTCAGAGCATGTTGTGTCTGCAGTAGCACATTTAGGGCCACTCTTCTTTGCATCCTAAGTGCTCTGTTGTTGTCTCTGTGATTTCCCTGTGCTATGGCCAAAAAGCTCACCTGATACCCATATTACACCAATTGTTGTGATGTGCACACTGAAACCCACAACATAAAAGCCCTGAACGGCATTGAACAACAATTGCAAACTAATGGATGAATTAAGGAGCGAATGCTGTAATAAAACCAGACTCATAAATGGCTCGATGTTGTGTCTCAGCTAACAACACCAGCAATTGAGTTCAACCTCATACAACAATATATAATATTGGAAATATGTATCACTACTTAATTTGATTGCATTCAATTGTAAACTTCTTAAGGATTTTAAATATCATATTATTAATAACTGCAAAGCTTAGTGAAACTAAAGTACACAGCAAATGGATCACCTGCATTCAGTCTGGGACCAAGGTGGGGATCATGGTAGGGATCAGATCATAGAAGGGATCAATGTAGGGATCATAGATGGGATCATAGTAGGGATCATAGTAGGGATCATAGATGGGATCATAGTAGGGATCATAGTAGGGATCATAGAAGGGATCCATAGTAGAGATCAATGTAGGGATCATAGATGGGATCATAGTAGGGATCATAGTAGGGATCATAGAAGGGATCCATAGTAGAGATCAATGTAGGGATCATAGTAGGGATCATAGTAGGGATCATAGAAGGGATCCATAGTAGAGATCAATGTAGGGATCATAGATGGGATCATAGTAGGGATCATAGTAAGGATCATAGTAGGGATCATAGTAGGGATCATAGTAAGGATCATAGTAGGGATCATAGTAGGGATCATAGGGATCATAGTAGGGATCATAGTAAGGATCATAGTAGGGATCATAGTAAGGATCATAGTAGGGATCAATTTAGGAATCATAGTAAGGATCATAGTATGGATCGTAGGGATCATAGTAGGGATCATAGTATGGATCATCGGGATCATAGGGATCATAGTAGGGATCATAATAGGGATCATAGTAGGGATCATATTATGGATCCAGTTTGAGCTCTGCAGGTAAAGCTGTTTACTGTTGATCCCCTGAAAAGAAAAAAACATTTTTTTCCAAGTGAAGATCTACAAAAGGGTACCTCTCAGTCTCCAATAGATGCTCCATGTGTTCATAAACCTCGGTACTGAGTGGAACCACCTGAGGAGCCTGGTGATCTAATCATTTGAGGATATGTTTAAGAACGGCAAATTTATTTGACTCAAAACAATATCAACATCCACTTTTTTTAAACATCTCAATGATGTGACCTTACCGACCTCATGTCTAAGATTTGAATTAGTCCCATTGCATCATCAGAGGCTATTTTATGCCACTCTTTAGCTCTGCCACTTGTGTTTAAGACATAAAAAGGCGACCATTGTTAAAGCATGACACAAAAACACTTTCCAAAGGCATCTTAAAACACAGCATGAGGACCTCCTAATTTACTTCACTGATGCTTTTAACGACACTTGTGGTCGTTAGTTAACATGTGTCTCACAGAGATCGGACAATGACTTTCCAGCTACAGCAATCAGACGATCTCTGAGGCATGCTTGTCTAATTAATGATGACGACCACAGCTCAGAAGAACCAATGTCTCTAAACTTTGGGAAAAAATAATAATTTGGGTTGACTCAAGTGCTTTCAAAACTTTAACCAATGAAAAAGAAAGTTTGCTTCATGTGTCCTGAAAACCCTTGACTTGTTGCAATGTCAGTTAAATGTGTTTTCACATGAAAGCTCATGAAACACACTTTGTCAGTCAGGTAATGTGGGATAAAAGAGGTTAAAAGCAGCTTCTGATGAGCGTTTTGAATCCGTAGCTTTGAGATACTCAATGCTGAACACCGAATTGTTTTTGTTGTACTTCATAAATGTTGACACGGATCAGTTTCTATGGTGATATTTTTCCGACATGGTTTGAAATATTTTGAACGTTGTGTTTCATATCAAATGAAACATTCTGTAAACCACAAATTGCCGTTTATGGGCAGTGAGTTGGGTGTGATGTACAGCGGAGGTGCACTGCTCTCCACCACAGCAGGAAAATATTTCTGTAATCCAGCGGCCTGAGGGGCTGATGAAGATTCACATTTTCTCTCTTTGAGGAACTTCAGAGACAAGATGTTTTTAAGTCAAAGTAAAGGCTTATTTTATGTTCAAGGTAAAAAGCATCAAAGATCAAGTGAGCCGAATATCACGGTGAAGCCACTGACATGCTCTTTGATCACAGATTATTCACTTCTATTTCTATACTTCTATACTGGACTTCCTGGATCCTTGATCAGTCTTACTGTAACCAAAAACATCAACAACACACTGTCCTTGACCTCTGCGCCTCTAAATCAAAACAATAACAAAAGATGTAGTTTAATATGATCATAAAATAGCTTTGGATTTTTAAGTTTTGAGCATTGTTGTTAAACAACCACTATTAAAATGCATGTGACATGTCAGCTCATTTTGAGATGATGTACAGTTTTACTTCATGCACATTTTAGTCGTTGCTATTCCTGTAAGTACTTTTAAAAACTAGTAAGATAGCTGAATTAGTTGGCACGAAAACAGAAACTAGCTGAATTAGTTGGCACGAAAACAGAAACTAAGTGACTTAGCTTCCTCATCTACTGGTTATTTCCAGTGGACCTGTGACTAAATGAACTGAACCGTCAAATTCATCTCTATTGTCAGTTTTGGACATACAGAAAAATCAGAAAATCGTTTATCTCAAACACAACTATGATAATTAATTAAGAAAGATACACTTGTATATAAATAATCTCTCTTCAAAGACCCCCCACCACCACCACACCACACACACACACACACACACACACACACACACACACACACACAATAATCTCTGGGGGGTGCATTGTGGGCACTCAGACCTCGGCCCTGAAATGTCTCGTTGTGGCCCTGCTGCTTTAAAAGCGCGCTCTGCTGACGCTAATAAGGCACGTAGCTTTAAAACAAGCTTTAAGTCACTGTGACTAAAATAAACCCGTCTCTACATTCAGTGTCTTGGCTCAGGTTCACGGATGAATCATGTATGCATGCAGCTGCAGTCTGAGGAGGATCAGACTGTGCATGTGTGATAAAACGGGGGGGGCGGACCCTGGTTTAAAGAAGCTTTCTGTTGACGGCGCTGCTGCAGCTTTAAAGCGAGCCACAGTGTGGACCAGCAGCGGCAGGTCTCCGTGTGTGTTTCTCTGTCGGATTATCACAACAGACAAACAAACTAAAGCGAGCATGTTTTCTGGGTGAACACGGCGGACATCTGCGCGGTAAGAAAACGTAACAACACTGCAGCTTTTTAACACGACTGTGGATCTGTTTACTTTCGCTTTGTGTGCAAGTGAAGCAGACACTTAATAGTGGAAGCGATACAGGACGGATTTATTCTGTTATTGATCTTCATTGTGCCAGTAGGTCATATATAAGTGTTGGTCTGTTATTACTCTGTCAGCACTAGAAAAGCGTTTTAAATAATAAGCAGGGAACTGTTACACATGTAGAAGCTGTAATGTGATAAATGCGACTGTTTTGAATATTGTCACTTTATGAACTACGTTTCTGACGCATGCGTGCTTTAATCTGCGATAAAACAATAGCGACAGATTAATACATTTCATTATAATTAGCCATACATTTAGTTTTTTTTAGAAGTTTAAGTGTGATGATAACTTTACATACAGTATTTTAAAAAGGAAATATTTACAGTGGTCTTGTATTGACCTGCCTCTACATTGCTGGTGTAACTTTTTTTTTACTGCTATTTCATCCAATCATTTTTGTTTAATCTAAACAATAAAAACTACTAAAACATTTGCTTTATCTTCACATTTAATAATCTGGAATCAGAAATTTTTAGATTTTTTTAATTAAAAGATTGAATCAAGGACTGCTGGTAATACATATGAATAGTAAATCATCTATTGCCAACTTTTCAGAATAAAAATGATGACATGATCAACAGAAAACACACTTTAAATGTAAACTTACATAATATAATATAGAATATTTTGCAATGCCACTGCTGACAGTTCTTTCATTTTTGCCTATGGAAAAAATTGCAAGTATAGTTAGCATAGCAAGTCTGGAAAAAGCATGCAAAAGCATATCAGTGTATGTGTCCGACTTGTAATCAGAAAGGTGACTTCTAGCTCAAAGAAAACAAAGATGGCAACATCTCCAATGCAAAAATACTGACTTTAAAAGGGTCAAATACGAACCAATGGATGACATCACTGTAGCTGCATCCACTTCTTTTATCCATGTATGTATCTATTATGTAGACGTAAAAAGAATAGTTAAACTGAATAAGAGGATACACAAAGTTCACACACTGATACCAGATTGTTGGATTCCTTTTTACGGCCATATATGACGAGTGGAAACATAAAATATTGAAAACAACAAATCCATCACTTTTTTTAACTCATACTTTATCCACCAGTGGCAGACTCTCACAGAGTACACTCCCTTTTATAAACTCAGCGGTGCTGTATTCATTGCTTTGTCAGGAGGGGGCTCAGCCAAGAGGCCCAACGCTCCACCTGGGACCCCGCCGCCAGCCATGACCTCAGGGAACGAGAGCGAGGCGCCCACCGTGACGGGCAGCACGCCGCAGAACGGAGAGAACAAACCGCCCCAGGCCATCGTCAAGCCGCAGGTCCTCACTCACGTCATCGAAGGCTTTGTCATCCAGGAGGGAGCCGAGCCATTCCCCGTGTGTGTAAGTGCCTCGACTATCAGAGAGAGAGAGAGAGAGAGAGTGAGAGAGACACGACAAACAACCAGGAGCAGACTGACTCTCCTGTGTACGCGCCTGCAGGGAGCTGTCAGCAGGAAAACACCAAACCTTCTGTTACTACAAGTAGTGACAGCTCGCTGCTCGCAGCTCTGCTTTGATTCACTCATTAATTATAGTGACGGCAGACTGTGTAGCTGGAGGAGTACACATTGAGGAAGGTGTTTGTGTAATCAGAAGCTCAATGCAGCATCCAAAGCCATAAACAAAATCTCTCCTGTAATCACTCATCACCTTTTAAAACTGAAGATTCTTTATCTTACTTATGGCTGTTAAGTGTTTCTTCCATGTGGTTGATTTTGTATCATCTCATTCTGATTCATCTCATTTAGAGGAAGCAAAACGTGACTTTGACAAACCTTTTGTTATGGTTCAACATGAACACATGTACTTGTTGTAATTTCAGGCTTGGCGGTCACTGCCTCCTACTGTACACTGGGTGTAAATACCCACTACATGTAATACAGGGCTCAGGAAGCCCCAGCCCAGCATGAAAGATACCAGTATTCACAACGACAGTGCTTTTTGGCTTTAATTTATAATTTTTTGTGATATTGAAAGTAATTGTTTCATATTTTCATTATTCATCATTTGTGCTTATTCTATAAAACTACAGCAAAAATCTAAGAATGAATGATTTTCTGATGAGCAGTCCAAAACCTTCGATCATGCAATTTATTAAACAGATACCAGTCAAACATCTTTCATTTTAACGACTGTAAACAGGGAGTGTATGGCCTTTTTTCCTTGTTTTGACACCTGCTGTGCATCATGATAGTTAATTGAATAATTCAATATTTAGCCCATAGTTTAATCACTGTTGAATCATACTAAAATGTCAAAATATCTGGAGTTGTATAGGATACATATGTTTCTGAAGATTTTCTAACAGCCTGTAATGGTAAATGGAACAATTACAGTAATCAAAAACTCCTTCAGTGTTCATGTAAAAGTTAAAACCAGACAACAGCTGAGACAGTCTGAGTCCAAATTTCATTATTCAGTCAACTGATTTCTTTCATATGATGGTTTCTGCACTACTTTTAATGCGTCCATTTAAAACACAAAGAGTTAAAGTATCACATTCTCCTAACTTCTTCTCTGGTCATAATGTCCTCTGAATTACATCACAAAAGGACATCTTTTCCTTCCAAAAGATGGCATAGCTGTTGTTCAAACGAAGCAATCAAACTCACTGTCATCCCTACTGCTGTTCTTCATTCTTTTACCATGCTCAGTTTCATCGGGTGGATTTTAAAATTAACTTCTTCCTATCACCAGGTGGAGCGTCTGCCCATTCTCATCGACAGCCCAAAGAAGCTCGACCACCAGCTCTCCTCAGACCCCGACAAAACCCCCGTCAGCAACGCAGCAAACTCCGACTCTGAGCCCGAGGACATGAACGAGCCAGGTGAGACGAAGAGTCCTTCACAAGTACAGCAAGGTTTAAAAGACAGAAGCTCTGAGCTGCTCTGATAAATGAAGACCACAACAACCTCTTACAGAAAGGCTGCCCTCAGCTTGATCATGCTTCTTCATCTCTTCACCAAAACAAGTGACCTGTACACGACACGACCTCCTTACTAAGACCAAAACCAACCTGCTAAATGATGACATGGGGATTATCATTTTTAACTCCTGTAGTCTTCTTTAGCCAAGCAACAAAGCTGCATGTTGAATGTAAACATCTTCAGTTTGACAGTAAAAGCTTTAATCTGCCTTCATGTTTAAGTGTTAGCGCTAACATGCACTGTTGTCTGTATTTCGAAGTGGAACAGGAATGTTCATCATTACTGTGACTATAAGTTAATACCTGATCAGCTAAAACACATTCAGAAATCCTTTAGCAGATTCACATTCAGTGATGCAGACAGACAGATAATAGTGTAACACTAGCAACACTAATCATTGTTGTTTGATAAAAAGAAAAAAGAAAAAACCCCGGCTGTAACTTTTGCTACAGAACAACTTGCTATGCAAACATACGCTCCTGGTAATTAATCTTTCTTTCTGCTTACCTCGATAGAAAAGTTTGAATACTCTCCCCACTGAAAACTTGTTCTGTTGAGTTCCTCAATCCATCCTTCAAAGTTTTGTTGTCACATGAGCGTTTGTGCGTCTTTAAAGGATGTGTGAAACGACTCAGCCCAGCCCTCCATATTTACCACAGTGGTGTTTTTAGTTAATCTGGGATAATAATGCCAGTATCAACGCCAAGTTTGATGATAGATAGATAGATAGATAGATAGATAGATAGATAGATAGATAGAGGAACACTAATGATCTCAAACTGGGAGATTGTTGTCACAGCAGCAGCAGGTCAATCAGAACAAATAACACAGAGAGAAGTGAATTCACAGTAAATAAACCTGAGCATCAGAAAAAAGAAATGGACACAGCTGTTGAGTAGAAAAACAATAATACACTTGAATAAAATCTAAAATGTTAACATACTCTAATAAGGGAAGTAGAGGTGTAACTGTCCAAATATACTCATCAAGCGTTACTGATGGATTGCTGACGGCGTGCAGTTTAAATAAGACAGAGACGATCAGGGTCAGAGTTCACTGCTCCTCAGAGGTGAGCTGTTTGTGCTGAGTCATGGCACCATAATAAAGCTGCATTCAGTGGGTGTCATTGAACAAGGCAAATGTCTAGAAAATGCTGATTATTTCATACTGATGATTTTGGTGTTTTGGACTACATACAATGATCGACTGTCTCATTTGATAAAGCTAACTCTCTATCTGTGTAACTTAACTTAATCATGTAAATACTGTAACATTATCCTCATCAATCTATGCATACTGTTTATGTACATACTGTAAGAACTCGACCTCATATTTCATCTCGGCATTTTTGCACTACTCACAACTGCACTATTATCTTATTTAGCTTTGTATATATTACTCACGCTTCTATTTTGTTTATATTTAATGTTATTCTTTTGTACATTGAGAGCACAGTTACCGAAGACAAATTCCTTGTGTGTGTCTGAACATACCTGGTCAATAAATCTGATTCTGATTTTCTTTGATGTCCGTCTTCAGACAAAGATCAGGAACCCAAGCTGACGTGTGAATACTGCGGCTGGGTCGACTTCGCCTACAAGTTCAAAGGCTCCAAAAGATTCTGCTCCATGGTTTGTGCAAAGAGGTCGGTCAAGTTGCTCCTTCTTCTCATTCAGACAGATACTTATTTTAGCTGTGATGTTTTGAAGAGCTCTAATCAATGACATTTGGTGCTCAGGTACAATGTGGGCTGCACGAAGCGGATCGGCCTTTTCCGCCCGGAGAGGAGTAAGCCGACCAATCGCTGGCGGAGAAGATCTCAAGGCCGGCCCAGCATAGAGGCTAAGAAGCAGGTACAGAAATAGACACAGTCCTTCTCTAAAACGTCCTCATCAACACTTTACCTACCCATCAGATCCTGCTTCCACTGCACATTTTATGCCCCGCACATTTCACGCCCCGTGCTTTTTAATGAACTCGAGCACCGTTTGTGTCCGTGCCCGATTATCTCCCTCTGTCTCTGAAAGGGTCGTTAAGCGCTCGATGATCTTTGTCAACGTTTATGGGTGACCAGCGGGAGTGGGGGAGCATTAGTAGAGATTTTCTGCCTCCTGCACAAGTTATAGAGACATCAACAGATTCTGGATTAGCTTATTTTGTTGTTCAATCAGCAGACTTTGAATTAAAGGGAACGCACTGAGACGTTTCTCTCTGCACTAGAAATACATGAAGTTGTATTGATTAAATAAAGTCACATTTTAGTGCATTAATGGCTCATTGTTGGCAATACAATCTGAAATGTAGTGCAAACATGTAGAACAGGAGATCATACTATTAAATTAAAGTAACAAAAATTAAAAAAGTAGTGCATTCAGAAAACAGTAAATATCTGTACATGCACAAAAGACGGCAAAGGAATCATAAACATGGAGAAAACGAATGGTCAGTTAGCAAGTCTTTTATTCCAGGGACATTTCAACCATTTACTCTTGAGTGATAAAAGTCACATGTTAAAGAATCATGGAATAATTAAGGAGAGCACATTGGATTTAAGAATGAAAAGAGTGTCCTAGCTAGAGAGTCAAAAGTGATAACAAGTTTATTCAAATGTAATTCTAACAGACATGGAGAGCCAATTAGAGATCCTCCTGTTCCCCCTATTCATTCATGAATACATTATTCATTTATATTTAACACATATACGCAATGAATCCTTAAACATGACATTTTTATTTCATTATTAAATATAGAAGTTTGAGGTTTTTCATTGTATTATTGTGTCATACATTCATTTATATGCCCAGCCCGCTTGGGTTTACATGACACCATGAAATACAACATTGAGTGCAGAGTCGCTCTATTCATTGTCATGAAACAAAAAGAGGAAGTAGAAGCAAGACAAACTCTAATCAAACAGAGTATCTCGTCTTTTTTTTTTTTACAAGCTTTTGAGACAAAATTAGCAAGCTTGAACAAATCAAACTTAAACAGCCATTCCAGTTTTTAGCACAACTGTCCACCCCAATATTTCAGGTTTTTGGCGAGCTACTTCATGAAACAATAATTCTCTTCAATCATATTTTGTACAACGCCCCTCCTGTTGACCACTCACTCACTTAAAACAATATAAGTTCTCAATTATTTAGTCTATTTGTTGTTCTATGTATTGGTAGATTGTTAGTTTTCCTGGTCTTCTGCTTTGTTGCTGCTGTCTTTGCGCTTGTTGTTGTTGTACTTTTGGTCATCATCTTCCTGCTTTACACTGTTGCATTTTATTATTCTTGAACAGCACATTTCTAACAGTACTTTCAAAATAACTTTTGATTTGATCACATATTTTTGACCCAGTTAAAATCTGTGCTGATGCATCACATTTTCATGCTTCAGGAGAGCCGTGCAGCACACACACACTCCTGGGTGGAGATGAATCTTTTTCATGTTTTCTATTCAAAATGTGTGGAGTTATGTTTTGCCTCGGGGGTTTGGTCGTGACTCTCCAGTGGGGGGGTGCTTTAGATTTATGTTCAGATCAGGTGCTAAGTATGATAATCCAGAGGGTTCAGCACCTGACAGAGTAGTTTTGAGGCCTTGATATCGATCCAACAACCCTATCCAACACCTGCAGGTGTGTTCTACTCATTCCAAGCGATGTACTGTATCAATCTGACTTGTTACCTCTTTAATCTTTGCTGCTCGGAACACAATGTCCCGACAGTCGTGTAACTTATGAGCCGTTCATTTCTCAAATGTCTTGACGTCATTTTCATTTCCAGAAGCTCTCCCCGTCACCGCAGCAGACCCAGGGGGGGTCCGTGTCCTCGCCGCATCCCTCTCAGCCCAGTCAGGAGGAGTCCAGCCCGTGTTCGGACATGTCCAGCTACGAGGAGCCGCCGTCCCCCCTGTCTGCTGCTAGCTCAGGACCCCCGGCTCCCACTCCGGCCCCTGCTCAGGTCCCCGTCCACCGGCATTCCAGCAGGGCCTCGGACCAGGAGGTGCTGAGTGGGAGAGATGACCCTTCACCCTGTCAGCGCTTCATATCCAACGACCCCACCAGGTGGAACGTGGAGGAGGTGTACGAGTTTATCCGCTCACTGCCAGGTCAGTAAAGTAAACAAAAATACACAACAGACTCTTTGACCGATTGTGGTTCAAGAGGCTTTTCACTGACGCGTCTTTGCCCTCTAAAACAAACAGCTTACCATTCAAATATAATGTCTGTCCAAAGTTCTTCAGCCGACAAGTAAGACAGATGTGTGAAAGCCTCTTTCCCTGCTCGGGATGCAAAAATGAAAGAAGTCAGTCTGATGTTCACAACATATCCAAGATGGCCGATTAAGCAACTGATTGTGTCTCTATGATGACAGTTTTTGTCTTTATATCAATGCTAATATAGTTAGACAAATCCACAGTATGACCAAATGAGTGGAAACTCTTGCATTGAATACTCCTGAATATCACCTGCTCGGTTCACTCTATCTCTCTTACATTTCATCAGGAGGCTGGCAGCAGGCAGTCGTGATGAAGTCCGGGTGACAGTTTTAGCGGTTAACGTTCACACACGTAGCTCATCCGGACCATTGTAGGAAATTTCCACGTGTGCCGTGCATGTGTGAAAGGAGCTAGCCAAGTTGTCTTCATGCTAAATCATGATTTATTAATAGTTGATTGTTTTTTTTTATTTTGTGAGGATTTATCGAAGGTCTTTCTCCATTTTGTCTGGTGTTCAATACAGAGCATACAAAAGACTTCTGTTATTTATTCTCCTAACCAGGCAGTACCAAAATGATAGCGTTCATTTTAAGTCTCACACTGGTATCAGATCAGGACTCGTTTTTTTAAGATTTTCATTCATCAGAAAGGCACATATTTTCTTCTTCTCTATTGTGAGTCCTGTTTTTGTTCTGTGACTGACTTGCTGCATGCTCTTCTTCTCCTGCTGTTTTTTTAAAATGCAGGTTGTCAGGAGATCGCAGACGAGTTTCGCTCTCAGGAGATTGATGGACAGGCTCTGCTGCTGTTAAAGGAGGACCACCTCATGAGCACCATGAACATTAAACTGGGACCCGCGCTCAAGATCTTTGCACGCATCAACATGCTCAAAGACTCCTAGCAGAAAGTGTGTGTGTGTGTGTGTGTGTGTGTGTGTGTGTGTGTGTGTGTGTGTGTGTGTGTGTGTGTGTGTGTGTGTGTGTGTGTGTGTGTGTGTGTGTGTGTGTGTGTGTGTGTGTGTGTGTGTGTGTGTGTGTGTGTGTGTGTGTGTGTGTGTGTGTGTGTGTGTGTGTGTGTGTGTGTGTGTGTGTGTGTGTGTGTGTGTGTGTGTAGTGTTAAAAGAGAGCAGAATATAAAACTTTGGCACAGGGCAGGTGATGCGTCATCGCAGCACTGACAACACAGACTGACAGCACTATGACCTCACCTTCTCTTCATTTACTGCTGGACGGGTTCCTTTTAGCGAACATTCACTTTGACCTGCATCTGCTCCAAAAAAAAAAACATTCAACGTACCTGCCTTTCTATCAAAGTGGAGCTTGAACACTGGGAGCTGTGTTTAAATACTCTCACAGGGGTTAAGCGCGTCTTTGCACGTGTGAAACTATACGTGCAACAATTACATCATCTGACATAAAAATCAGCTTCCAGTTGTGTGTGTGGCAAATTCCAACATGTTGTCATATAAACGAGTAGATATTCTTGATTTCCTGCAGTTTTGGTGTCTAAAGCGACACGTTGCCTCCTTCTCTTAAAAAAATAACTCATCCATAAATCAGCAATGCTTCCTTTGACCTGAAACATGCTGCCATGTATACCTATTTAGAGGGTTAAGATCTGATCTTAAAGCAGGCATGACTTTAGATAACACAGACACTTATTAATGCAGGGTGAAGATGCAAATGTATTTTGTCAATTTCATGATAGATAACACTTTTGGATACAGATTTCATGATAACAGCAGGTGTGAAAGGGCTCTTTGATGTGGCATGAGACAAACTCTGCTGAAGTTAAAAAAGAATAAATTAAGAGGAGAACACTGTTAAGTCGTGCATGGGTGGGGTCATACTGCAGCACAGTCTTTACTGAATTAAGACATTAAAACAAAAACAATAGAAGTCTGAATGAGTTATTATTCATATGAAATTATAAAAGAGGTTTTTGTACAGTTGGGTTTGTGTGTGAATGAGAGAGGAGTGGATGTATGTGTGTCTGGGAACAAAAGATTGCTTCATTAATTTGCTCATTTTGATTCAGAAGATGCTCCTTTTGCCTTTTTTTTTTTCTCACAATAAGACTCTCACCGCTCCAGAATACAAAGCTCCAGTGCAGGAAGAAGAAAAAAAAAAAAGGTTTGAGCAGCTTCTTCTCTGACATTGATTTCCCTTCCATGAAGAACTCTCCTGCTGATTTCAGCAGCTTACAAATGATTGTTGCCGTATTTGAAAATGGTGGACTAAAAAAGGACTTTGATTTCTTGTCTAAGTTTGGTAGGAGGACACTAAAGTATCCAAGGTACAATTCAGGTCTGCTGTCTTTATGCAGACCTACTTCTGGCACTTATTTCCCTTCTTTGTTTGCTTTAATTTAATGAGCACTGGCGACAGCAGTGCAAAGATTGGAGTTTGTACATAGCAGATTGTGTGAGGGCAGACGACTGAAACAGAGTGTGGAACTGTCTTTTTTAAGTTATGCTTGTTGAGACAAATTTAATGTGGTTTACTATTTTGAAATATGCAAATGTATAAATATGGCCCAGGGTTGTTTTTTTTCTCTGTTCTTTTTTTTCTAATGAAAATATGATCATATCTATTTGTGTGTTTGTGGATGTAATGGAAGGTCAACTTTTTTAGATGAGGCTTGTATTTATCAAACGGTTTGTAACAACATTTTGCAACCATAAATAATTTGCAGTACAGTTCTGTCTTCAGTCCTTCTTTATCTGTGTCTATAAGATTCAACAATTCAATACAATGGTACTTTGTTATTTTGTGAAGCTTTCTTACTTGTGTTAACCCGTTAAAGTTCTACTACTGTTTATCTCGATCACAGTCTCTTCTCATAGGCTTCAGAAGTTCCTGTTTTTAGGAACTAACGACCCAACACAATGAAGTGAATCATCGCACAGTTCTGCACAGTTGTGCAGCAAAACATCTGTATAGAAAACCCGGTGTTTTAACTTTTTACTTTAAGATATATTTGAAACAGCTTATCTATCATTGATGTTTTATGCTCTGTTAAATTCTCAAATAATGTAGGATAACCTTTTAATTCCATGAAGGGTAATTACGTAAAAAAAAAAAAGGATTTTAATCAGATCATCAATTAATCATTAATCTTTTTTTTTTTTTTTAACTCATTACAACATTACAAGTCTATTAAAACCGGTAATGTTGGAATAAAATAAGTCAGAGGCAATTCAAAAAGTGGGGAGGGGTCCTATTCGTTTTTCTTTAGATATCCTAAAGACAGTTCATAAAAGTGTTAAAAGGGAAGCATTCACTTCAGAGGATGAGAAAGACTTCAAACACGGACTGTGAAGGAGTGTTCTGGTTTAAAAAACAGCGTTATTGTTCATATTCATTCACGGACTTTGTTTACATCACTGGTTAACATTAAAGCAGAGGGTCCCGTTTCAGTGCACAGACTCGAAGTTCCGGGTGTTTTATAGGAAACGTGACTGATTCCAGCTATTTATCTGTAACAATGAGCCGCTCGTGCGAAACAGCTGCTGCTTTCTGCGTTGTTTCCAGTGAGTTACAAATTCAGATTCAAACAATAAACAGGTACGATGAGTTTTCTTTCAAACGCTGTATTGTGTCAGCTGTTTGTACCGTCAGAGGGGCGAGAGCAGACACGACCGACCCGCCCCCCTGTTTTCATTTGAGAACGGACCGTACCAAGTAAAGCGTCGCCTTTTACTGATTTCTGTGTACAAACGAATAAAAGTAAATCACTCTAAACATGTATATTCTCCTATCAATCGAGTTACGCTGTTTTAAGTTGAATTGAACATGTGTTACAACGATTAAAGCGTCCTTTTTTTTGTTTAAACCACCCCCATATCTAAATGAGAATGGTTTAGTCCAGGTTCAAACTCGATGATGTTGCTGTACGTGGATTTTAAACGGCTGATACATTGTTACCTGAACGTAACAACAACGTAACATTTGAATGTTACAAAGTTTTACATTACATTTTTCTTTTGTTGAATTTCTTTCAAGGTCAACGAAAAGCCAACAACAGGTAAGTTTGACCGGATTTTCAATAATTTCCTGACATAATGGTAGATTTTTAATTACAGATGTTTTTACCAGGTGAGGAAAGAAACTACTCAAAACACTAAGATATATATTTTTTTTTTACACAATTTTAAACGTTTTACTTTCACATTGAGACTAAGTTACAGTACGAATCAAAGTCAATAAATTCAGTTTCATTAGTTATAAGTTAGGAAACAAAACTTCATTACTCTTTCTCGGTAATTCTCAGATTGGTTATGATAAAAAGTTTTGAAGTAGGATAAATGACCATGCCTTTAAACTAAGAAAGGTAAATAATAATCCACTACACTGAAACGGGCTTATCTGCAGTAAGCTTTACTCATTGTCTGTAATATTTATAGATTGATTGTGATTAATTGCATTTATTTATGTGTCATGCACACAAAGTGCCCAACCCTCATGGGTTTATAAGACACTAAATATTCAGTTGCAGTGGTTTAACATTTCACAACAATACAAAGTGAAATGTTCCTTTTACAGTTCAGTCTTAAACAGTGTATTTGGTCTTTTCTCCCAGCATGCTTTGCAGATAAAATCTGCTACAAAAAAGGTTCCTCTTCCAATTCAAAACTCAAATTTTTCATAATCATCTAACCAGAAGAAATCAACATTAATGGAAGACCTTTTCCAAAAAAGAACATCCATTATATCATCATATGTTATTAATAGATTAATGTAATAAATATTACAGTTCTTTTATGGACTGAGTTCATCCTCCATCACGGCTTATTTAAACTAAAATCACATTGTGACGTTTTTAAATGACATAGTTTTAGTTTCTGCCAATAAAATTATATTTTTTGAACATTGTTTTTATTAATCGTCAACTACAATGTACAAATATATGACCACATACTGTAAATGAACCATCACTCCCTCCCTAATACAATTATTTTTTAGGGTTTTAAATGGCTTGTTTTCATTGTTATGAGGCTGCTTATGGGTTTAATGATTCATGTGTTATTGCCTTGCTGCCCTTTGAGATGTACTCAGATTTGTTTGATAATCCAAAACAAAAATATAGAGTTCACTGATGACAAAGAAGAGCTTTGATTTACACATTTGAATAGTTGAAATTCTGTCATTTTCTGTTTTGCAGGTATAAAGCCTATGTTCTGTTAGATGTGTCACTGTTTATTCTAACGATAATTAGACTTAATTGTATTTTTCTTTGTACCCAATGTTACATCCATTTCGACTGATTTCTTCAAGCTCTGTTGGGTTGATTGTTCACCGAGTCATTTAAATGTCTATGTTGTTGCAGAAATGCCGAATCAAAGAGACGAGGCGGCTGGCGATTCCCCCGCTGACCTTCCCTGTCTGGAAAAACTTGACTCTCCTACGGGTAAGACGCTTTATGACGCTGGTTATTGTTTTCAGGCACGTTCAGGGACCATCAGTAATTGAATTATTACCACGGTGGCAGTTTTAATTATCTGTGGGTGTGTGTGTCCTGTCGGTGGTGTCAGGGAGCCCACCCACCGCCTCATTATCCAGTCTGATGGAGCTGGAAAATTGTGTCTCCAACCTGAGCCTCGCACACGAGATAGTGGTGAACAGAGACTTCTGCTTCAAACCCAAAAGCCCTCCTACAGACAGGCAAGAAAAACACTCTCCATCACAGCCTGAGTGACCTGCGTTGATCTTATTACCCAAAATAAATGGATGGTTTAATGTCTTTGAGCTGTTCCTCTGATCTGTTTTTTTTTTTTCTTGTGTAGCCTGGAGGGCAGAGTGACAGAGATTGTTCATAGGGCGTTTTGGGACAGTCTTCAAGAGCAGCTGAACACTGATCCTCCAAACTACAGCCACGCCGTCGTTCTGCTCCAAGAAGTCAAGACTGTGAGTGTTTTATGGTATTAAATCAGAGGCATTAGAGACAAAGGGTCTACTGAGCTCTCTGATGCCATTCATGCTCATATATTTACAGATCAGCACAACAGTGTGTGAAATATAGACAAATGACGCATAGATGGGCATGATTTCAGACCCTATTAGAGCTATCTATTAGAGCGACTTGGAAATAAACATGATATATTTACCAGAGTTTTATTGCTGGGGCGGCTGGGGCTCAGTGGTAGAGTCGGCCGTCTCTCAACTGGAAGGTTGGGGGTTCAATACCCAGCTCCTGCAGCAACATGTCAGATGTTACCTTGGGCAAGACACTTATCCCCAAGTTGCTCCCGCTGCTTGGATTATTTAATACTAATGGACACTTTACATATAAACCATTACCATCTGTGTGAATGTGTAGGTGTGACCTGCGGTGTAAATGCTCTTGTTTTCACCATCGTGGGACGCCAAAACTGAAAATGAATCTCGATGAATTGCCCAGCCCTACAGCTTATGCTACAGTTATTAATGTGAGAAATACTTGTGCACTAAAAAAAAAAAGGATGCACACAGACACATGCTTTATCACGGGCAGGCTTTGTTACTTCCTGGAATGTCCACTGGTCGCCTGGCAACCTCACACCGACTAAAGAACTTCTCTGAGTAAAAAAGCACACAAGTGTAGACACTGTGGACTGTTCTTCTCAGTGTGATGACGATTTGTTTTTCCTGCGTTGACACAGAATCATACAGTGAAAAAGAATCAGATATACATACTGTATGTATTATAATTAAGGAGCCTCTGTATGAACACATGGTTAATGAGAACTCCGTGTGGGTCTGTGCCTCAAACATATCTTTGAACAGCATGTACACAAACACAACACTATCCCCCTTTAAGCATAAAAAAGCAAATCACAGCACCAGCCTGCTGATTAATCAGTTAAGCTCTACCAGGGATTCATTTTATTAGATTTATTTTGGATTACATTCGTAGGATTAACTGACATATATAATCTGTTTTTATGTCGAGTACCTTGTTATAATCCACAGCACTGATGCTCTTAACAACATGAACCCTGAAGGATAAACAGACTAAAGACAGCCTCTCATGTGTTTCCAGATGCTTCAGTCCCTGCTGCTGCCGGGTCACGTCAGACTGAGGTCCCAGCTGGATGAGGTTCTGGACATGGATCTGATCCGCCAGCAGGTGGACCATGGAGCTCTGGATCTCCACAGACTGTCTGCATACATCATCAACACCATGGCCTCTTTATGCGCACCTGTACGTGACCCACACATCCGAGCACTCAGGGACCTGCAGGACCCTGTGGAGCTCCTGAGGTGAGGGGCCGGTTCACATGAACCTTCAAGAGAATACCTGTGTTTAAAAGAAGAAATATGTACAACTCATGGTGGTTGTATGACCTATTCCCCAGTCCTGTAGCTGAATGCATTTCCCTTTATAACAATGCTAGACTGCATTATGGCCTCCAATTTAAAACACTGTCTTTACTCTAAAAAATAAAACAGCTGAGTTTCTGACCTTCAGATCAATAATAGGCCGTAATAAAGTAATGACATTTTACATCAGCTGCCAGTGCAGCAGGGTCAATATGCTGCAGGTAACACAACTTTCTGCTGTTATTTTTCTTGACAGGATTTTAATAATGAAACATTCTTCATTTATTATCCTGACTGGAATGCAACAGGTGTAAAGGTCTCTCTCCAACTTTGTAATTAAAGCCTCTCCTCAGTTCTTAGTAAGTTCTTGCTATTCTTAAAACTAGTGAATGACAAACTTCATGCCACCCCTTCATAAGTCTGTGCCAGTTGAGTCGGTTGGGCCACCCATGCAGGTCAACTCCCCTGTGTTTAAGACACTCCCCTGAGTCATTTAGTCTACCTTTTGATCTCAATGTTTTGTAGTATGAGCTTTTAAAAAATGTTTAAAAAAAATGTTGGTTTCTGAATTTTAGCCTGACAGGCACCTGTGAAGAAAAGCAAACAAGATCCGCACACCAAGAAGGTCCCATTTGAAGGATTTCTTGATGAGTGATGTTTTGAGCCAACATGCGCTCCCTCAGATTGAATAGAAAGGGGAACCACTTTGTGAGTGGACTAATGATTTTTTTTTCACTCTGAAGCTTACAGTACACCATACTACTCATGCAGATGATGAGAAATCTTTAAGAAGCATTAAACAACCATTAGGCATTGTGAAAACACTACAGAGTCATCTTTTAGTCTGTAAATGAGGCGCAAACTGGAGCTAAATCTGACTCGCATTCGGAGGTTACCAGTAAATATTAGACATCAGTGATTAAAGGAAGCCTGCCAGCTTCACTTGAGATGCTGTACATCTAATTATGCATCCATACCTCCAGTCACTGAGAAGAAGACCTTTATTTTACTTATTGGTTTCTTCTTTCCTCTGTCCCTCTTCCTCTTCTTTATGTAGAGCACTTCTTCTGTTTTCAGGATTGGGTATGACTTAAAAAAGCTTTCTTGGGTTTAAACGTTTTTCAGTAACTTACAACAATACACTCGCATATAATCCTCCTGCCTGTTGCTCAGGGAGATCTTCCGCGTCCTGGGTCTGATGAAGACAGACATGGTAAACTTCACCGTCCAGAGCCTGAGGCCTCACCTCCTGCAGCAGGCCGTGCAGTACGAGAGGACCAAGTTCCAGCAGATCCTGGACCAGCAGTCAGGTAAGGACGAGGAGGAGTGATGGATGAGGAAGGTGACTTTCTGGCAGTAAAATATATGGTTGTGGCATATTTCACTTTTCAATTAAAGTGATTTTGACCCTTGACGCTGTAAAGCAGGAGCCTGCCATTTCTCAGCGTTTCATAGATTAGGTGAAGAGCATGACAGCCAATCAGTGAACTTTATTCTGTCTGAGTGCAGCTGGCAGAGTGACAGGACCCTCAGTGCTGACACAGTGATGTTAGCCCTGCTACTAAAGAGTTTATTTTATCCCCTAAAAGTAAATCGGGGAGAATTGGTCAGCAAATGTATTTCAAGCATTTTTTCATCTTTGTAGAGTGAAGCAAATGTGCTGCATACAGAAGCCCTGAGAGGACCTGCATCCATACAATTTATCTTACATTGTGGTAACAAGTAAACATGGTTTTTCTCAGGATCTTGACTTATTTATGTTGTTGTCTTGAGCTAAGAATTCTGGTGAGATAATGAGTTGATGCCGTGTTCTCGAGAACTCAAGAAAACCAGCCTTGTTATCCTGAAGTTACCAGATGAATACGTCAAGGTCTGGAGAAAGCTACCGGGAATTATTTTCTCAGTTATCACAGGGAAAACTGAGTAAAATAATATCTGTGGATTTATGTCAGCCCGGCGTCGCTGTACGACTGAATTGTTTACGATGCATGACCAAAACTCATGATTCATGTGCTCACACTGCACGACGACCTGAGAGCTCACACTGTACGAGTAAAGTCGTGATGGAGCATTCACAATTATCAATAGAAAACTCCCACAGACGGAGGTTGAAGTCTGATTTATGTGTATTTACATTGTTTCATATGCTTAGCTCAAACATTCACACCTGCCAAAACGCTCTCACTCTCTCTCTCTCTCTCTCTCTCTCTCTCTCCCACACATCAGCTTCTTCCATATACACAAGTCTACTAGCAGCTAAATGACAACAAATATTCCCTTTCAGTTAGAGGTCTGCATACATTTCCTTTCACTGTTTCTGTAACGATAGGAGGGGGAAGACACATTTGAACAGGCATGCCTGTTATTGTCATGGTGATTTTGTCTGCTGTCTGTCACTTTTTGCGCAGACACAATTAGGGAAAGAAAGCCCTGAAGTCGGGGGAATTTGGCTCGTGGCTCTGCACTCGCTGTGCGTGTGTGTGCAGTGGTAACAACCAAAAATATCAAACATGCCAGAAAATCATCCGAGGGGTCGGGAGCAGCTGATCGGGACGCGATCAAATGTCCTGCCTCGAGTCATAAGACTCAAAAGCGGGACTTAAATCGGCCTGAAATGTACGCCTGGCGTTCGGGCTTCTCTTGCTGCAAACACAATAAAACTAGTTTAAGTTTTAACACTTAAAACAACTAATTTATTTTAAACTGAACAAGAAACACCTTGTCTGTATATGGCAATAACTACCTTTTAAATCTATTGATTAAGTGTAAATACGTGTGCCTCGTGTACCTGTTGATGTCTTTGTCATCTGTATTGTATTGTTTTTCTCCAGCCTCTCTGGACTACACCAGCGCTTGGCTCCTTGCAGCAGCGTCAGAGGAGGCGATGGCCGTCAGAGCTCAGTCTGACTCTCCCGCTCCTGACAGCAGAGGTCCTGTCAGCCCCACTGCTGTCCTCACCAGGGCCTACATGCGCCTGCTTCACTGGGACCCACACGACCAGAAATATCCCGAGGTCAAAAATTATGTCACACAGCACTCTGTCTTTTTTCATCGCGGTGATATTTTATTGATTATGGGGGAATTTTCAACTTTCCCTACACACTCCTCCTCACCCTGCCGCATGTTAAAGCATGTGACACCACATTAGAGCTCATGTGGCGTTGTAGATCAGAGGCTCACAACCTTTTTTTTTTTTATCTGAGGCAGCCACGCAGCCCTGTCAGGTTGAATCAAGTACCCCTTCATCAACATCAGCCAACATGATCCTAATGTGTTCACTGGAAATGATCTCAAAAACTGTTATTTCACACCATAAATCATGAAACATTATAGATCTATATCAATTTATGTTCATGATACTTAAAGTTTAGGAATGTTTTCACATTGAACTAATAAACTAGTCAGAAGTCATTTTTACTTTTATCTCATATGCTCATGATCGACAAGACCCAGAGGCCAAATGATCATCTTTTAACTGCTTCTTTTGCCTGATCAGCAGTGGGTTTCCAAACGTCTCGGCCCATGACCCCCAAAAATAGGTGCTAGAGACTGAACACTAGAACATTAGAACACAACAATCTGAACAGCGTAACTTCATTTTAGTAATGTATTGTAAGAAATACTACAAGTAGAACATGAGTCATTTCTTGAACTACCTTTTTGTATATTGTCACAATAATGGTTCAAATATGCAATTTTAAGTTTGTATATTTTTATATGTTTTGGAAGAATTTTCACGACCCCCTTCTTAGTGTCTCTCCCAGGGGTCCCAACCCCCACTTTGAGAACCACTGGTCTTAAACACAAAGACAAATTAGTTTTCTTGATAATTAAAAAAAACTTATCGGTGGAGGGTCTAATATCTCTTTCTTTGAGCTAAAAATCTCAGCTGTTGATTTTTTTAACTTCATTAAGGAATTAAGGAACAGCTTATCTATTTGACTTTTTCAAATGATTTCTTCTTCATAAGCTATCATTGTAAACAATCTATTTTAGCCTTAAACAATTTCAACCACATGTCTATTACTTTACCTACTTAAGTAGGTTTACCCATCACTATAAGCTAACTGTTTCATCTATGTGTCCACAGGAGTTATTTTTTGGTTGTTTATATATTTGGCTAAATTGAGCTGTTTACTTCCTCACACAGACTGCTCTGATGGACCGAGCTCGCCTGAACGCTCTGGGACAGCAGCTCCAGATGTTGGTCTTGGAGGCCTCGGTGCTGCTCTTGACCAGCGCTCATTGTGGAGGCTCTGTTTTCTCCCTGCAGGGGTTTGTAGGTAAACTCAGGCCCGCCATCGCTGCCCTGCTGGAGGGCAGTCACACCAGGTAAGAGGAGGATTTGGTGATGCTTGTACTGGCTGTCATGGAGAACAGGTATTGTATGAGAAGGAAACCAATGGAGGTGACAGCAGGCTACTAGCTTGTCAAGACCGATGCAGCTAACCTCATTCTTTCTGTTCGAGAGAAGGGCCGTCATGATTAGAGGATAAATGTGGAGCAGCAGCAGCAGCTTGTGATATTCAAAGCCTGCTCACACTCTGGTCCAAGCTGCAATAAAAAAGTAGCACAGGCTATTTCTCCCTTAATCACCTTTATTAAAATGTCCTTTAATTTAATCCAAACCTCTTTTGAGACTGTGATGCTATTAAAGACCCTCATTTATTGACTCCCCCCCCCCCTCGAGTCCTTTGCTCAACAGTACTTATAAATGGATACTCTCATAGCCCTGTGACCTGATACATATCTAATGAAGCCTGCTGGTGATTTGTCTGACGCTGGTTTTGTGCTGCTGCAGGGAGGCTGAGCTGAAGGCTGCACTGCTGGGGATCGGGGATGTCGTACTGCAGCAGGTGACCGAAGCTGTGAGCGGCCAGGGAGGAGCAGCGCTGCCCAAGGAGAGCCTGGATCTGCTGAGAGGACAAATATCTGAGCTGTGGAAGCACAACAACCCTGTCCGCACACTCATAGGTCAGCCCGAGAGAGCGACACAAATTTAATTTCTACCAGATTATTATTTTATGGTTCTTTATTTAAGATGTGGTTAAGAAAATGATGATCCATCAGACAGAAGAAAAAAGAAAACTTCCAGAGCTATTTAAAACTATTACAGATAAAGAGAGTGAAGAATATTTTTACCTGTCAGAAGATATCAGCTCTCAATCAGTGTTTTTTTTCCCCTGAGATTCATCTTCCCATCATTTACGTGAATGATGTTCATGTCTGAAATATATATTTTTTAAAGTCAAAGGTGTTGTGTGGCTATTCCCTTGAGGCCAAAGTGACGTCCTTGTATTGGTTGTTTTCTCCAGTCGACACTCCAAGTTAACCTCCAATCACCATCGTCATGTTTTATCTATTTCTATTCTACACTAATTATTTATCTTATTATATTTAACGCCTCTGACTGTACTTACTAGTTGTCTTCTTTTTTTTACTCTTCTTCTATGTTCATTGTACCTTCACAAAAACACAAAGGTCAGTTCCTTATGTGTGTAAACCTACTTGGTAATATACCAGATTCTGATTGCGATATGGAGAAAAAAACAAAAACAATTCTTATATTTAATGAGCTGGAACCAGAGAACTGTTGGGTTTTCTTCTCTTTAAAAATGAATCCAATAATTTAGTCAATATCAAAATAGTCACAGAATAGTATTCTGTTAACTGATTAATTGAAGCACATCACTTTCAGAGTTGTTATTGGTGAGTATGTAAGTGTAGATAGATGAGTCCAGGTCGGTCACTGTTTTTTTTTTTTTTTTTTTTGAGAACTCTGACTTTTTAGGGTTTTTATTGGCTCCTACAGCCACATGTCCGATGTGTTCTTGGGCAAGACACCTAACCCTAAGTTGCTCCTGCTGCGTCGCCGACGGTGTATGAATGGGACTAGTTAAAACTGATGGACACACTCAGCAGCCTCTGCCATCAGTGTGTGAATGTGTAGGTGTGACCTGTAGTGTGAAAGCGCTTTGAGTAGTCAGAAGGTCAGAAAAGCTCTATACAAGCTCAAGTCCATTTACCATAAAAGCCTTCACAGCCTGGTTGTATATTTTAAAATGTAAGAGATGCACAAACTTCACTAAACAGTTGAAACATGTATCATGTAAATTAGTTTAGGTTATCTTTGTCTACATGTTGAAATGAAATGTGTGCTGCTGCAGAGAGCTGACTTCTCTCTCTCTCTTCTTCATCCCTCTCTCTCTCCTTTCTCCCTCTTATCCCTCTCTGTCTTCTTCCTTCCTCTCTCTCTTCTTCCTCCCTCTCTCTCTTCTTCCTCCTTCTCTCTCTTCTTCCTCCCTCTCACCCCTCTCTCTCTCTCTCTCTTCTTCCTCCCTCTCTCTCTTCTTCCTCCCTCTCACCCCTCCCTCTCTCTCTCTCTCTCTTCTTCCTCCCTCTCACCCCTCTCTCTCTCTCTCTCTCTCTTCTTCCTCCCTCTCACCCCTCTCTCTCTCTCTCTCTTCTTCCTCCCTCTCACCTCTCTCTCTTCTTCCCCCCTCTCTCTCTCTTCTTCCTCCCTCTCACCCCTCTCTATCTCTTCTTCCTCCCTCTCACCCCTCTCTCTCATCTTCCTCTCTCTCTCTTCTTCCTCCCTCTCTCTCTCTCTCTTTTCTCCCTCTCATCTCTCTCTCTCTTCTTCATCCCTCTCTCTCTCTCCTCTTCTTCCTCCCTCTCACCCCTCTCTCTCTCTTCTTCATCCCTCTCTCTCTCTCCTCTTCTTCCTCCCTCTCACCCCTCTCTCTCTCTCTTCTTCCTCCCTCTCTCTCTCTCCTCTTCTTCCTCCCTCTCACCCCTCTCTCTCTCTTTTTCCCCCCTCTCTCTCTCTTCTTCCTCCCTCTCACCCCCCTCTCTCTCTCTTCTTCCTCCCTCTCACCCCTCTGTCTCTCTCTCTCTCTTCTTCCTCATTCTCACCCTCTCTCTCTCTCTTCTTCCTCCCTCTCACCCCTCTCTCTCTCTCTCTCCCTCTGTCTCTCCCTCTCTCTCTCTTTTCTCCCTCTCATCCCTCTCTCTCTCTTCTTCCTCTCTCTCTCTCTCCTCTTCTTCCTCCCTCTCACCTCTCTCTCTCTCCTCCTCCTCTTGATCAAACAGGAGAAAGGGTACAGGGCTTCCTCCAGGCCATGCTGCAGGGCGGCCCTGCTAAGAGGAGTCCAGAGCTGCCTGCTTCCCTCAGGCTAGTGGGCGCTGAGCTAGCCGAGCTGGGGACGGCCTTTGGGCGAATCGTCCACTTCAACAGAACGGTCTTTGGTCCTTTCTTTGCACCCATCCTCAGGAGGCTGCTGCTCCCACCAGGAGAGGCCGAGACCGCGGAGGACTCACGCTGAGCTGAGGGTGACCCAGACAGCGTCCCGGTGAACTAAACATAAGCTGCAATTTGATGGCTAGCATTAGCCATGGAGTGTAAATACAGTGTGTGGGAGTGTTTGAGAGAAAGACGTTTATAGTCACAGAATATATGTATATTATATTTTTTTTAGTTTTTCAACAAAAAAACATTTATCAGTTCATGAGGCAGATGCTGAATCATAAGCAGCAGAAAAACATGAAAACCTAAAACGCCGTGTGAAAAAAAACAAGCCAGTTTATACCTGGACAGAAAATAATGAATAGTTCTTTGTAACGTGTTAATGAGACATGGCATTAAGAGTTGTTACAAGTACCTGATGTAAATTCTTAAAACCTTTTTGATTTTCCTGTTAAACACATTTGTTAGATTTCAAACGATTGAATTCATCTCGAGATAAAAACACACTCAGGAAAACACAAAAGTACCAAAGATGATGCTAACAGGTTGTAAATAGTACTTCTCATTTTGAAATGATGCTGGTTTCTTTTCTTAGCTTGACGTTCACAGATTATTTTGTAGAATTTACCAAAGACAGCGTGCACTTTCTTCTCTTTTCTTTCTTTAAACACCTTTGCATATAAACCCAAAATGTACTCAGTGTTTCCCCTGAGGTTGTAGGAGTTAGTGGGGGAGGAGCCAAAAATTAAAGACAAAACTAATAGAATAAAAGTATTAATATCCTGTGAGTAACCATGGTTACACTTACAACAGGCTGAGTTAATCATAAAGGGAAGCAAACTAAAAGCTTTTTCTCCAGCAACGCAAAGCCCAGGATGTAACAGTGAGGTAAAAAACAAAATGGACTGACGTTGAAAAGCTCATGATAGATAAGGAGACGTATGGAAGGCCTGGTTTGCTGCACAATCCAAATCTTTGTCAAAACTCATCATTTTCAGCTTGTAAGTCTCACTAAGTGGCTGGAAAGTTGAAAACAATAACACACATTCAGCCTAACGGGAGGACAATTTAGTCTTTGATGTGCGACCAACAGGAGGGTTTTATAAATATGGTCTACTTCCTGTGAGTGTGATTATTATAAAAGCCTGTGAAAGCTAAAACTTTGAAAGGAGAGATTGGATGTTTTGTTCCTCCAGTTCCTTCCTTTGCATTTCTGTTCAATCTTACAATCATTTTACAGACTTGTTTTATGTTGTATTATCCAACAAAGAGGACATGAGGTTTATATCCATTTTAATCAAATTCAACAAATTGATAAGAACGGTAAACATTGCAGAGAAAAAGACAGATGATGTAACTTGGAACAACTTGGGCAGAAAAAATGTTCACTATGATAAATTATAAAACTTTCTTTTTTCATCAGTGATCTATCGTATTTCTGTATCTTAAAGCAACATTATGTAGGGATTCAGTTTGGTGTGCTTAGTTTTGGCGCCCTCCAAAGGTCTCAGAGTGCAACTGCACCATTGTGAAACACAAAGGAAGCTGTTACTCCACCTCTTCATAGACAGCATGTGTTTGTTGGGTGGCGTGAGAAGCCAAAGAAGCATGTTGACTGACTAGATACAGTAAAATAACCAGATTTTGTGCAAATCTGACTTTTCTAGTGTTATCATTCTGTTGTTTGCAAACTGTTTGCAGGTGTATTCAGCTGTTACCTCGATGTCTACAGGCTGTGGCTAGACGGCTACATTGGGGAGGCTAACTTATAATGCGAGTTGAGATAGGTTTGTACGGTTCCAAACTTTAAGATCGACACACAACTTTTTTTTTTTGCATGAGACGCAACTTGGGTTAGATGAGTTTCTGCACCCGGTTCAGCTGCTAAACTCGAGGCAACGATGACACAGATAACGTTACAGCCTAACGTTATGGCGCTATGTGTTATAAATAAAATCTGCAGGATTGTCACTTTCCCATTATCAGTGGGTTACATCGTGCAGGTGACCAGGGCGCTCAGTGGACACATCAGAAGCCATCCTAAAAGTCGAAAGTTTATTGTTCTATTAGATCGACTTTGAAACTTTTGTTTTAAGGTGGAAAAGTGATATAGTGTTGCTTTAAGGACATGAATACATACGAGTGGATAACTGAGATACTAGTCATGATAAAGTGTTGTGTAATTCCAATCGTGGTACGCAAACTAAAATGTGCTAAAACTTTTGAGCCAATCGCTGTTGTCCTTTGACTTTGCTACATCTCACAGCAGAGGGATGAGGAAACCTGCAGGAGTCACAGGGTTAAGCATTGTCTCAGAGATTGTCTCAGATTAATGCCTTGCAATCTTTTGAAACCAATCAGGTCTTGCAGCAACACTCCCCTCTGATTTAAAGATTTTCTGAATCGTCAATGACTCCTCCAACCAAGTACGAATAAGAACATATTCAGTCTACTGCAGCATTCAATTTTATATCTAGTGTTATTGTGCAGTGTAGAATAATTAAAGGCAACATTATTATAAACAAATGATAAAATGTTTTGCAATTCAAGCACAGATTATGTGGATTCCTGCTTCATGTTGGGATTTGTTCGGAGGAGTCAGATCTCGGGAAATGAGCTGTAAATCTTTTTTTAATCATGCAGCACACCAAGTATTTAGCATCAAAATGACAGAGGACTTTTATAGGATTGTGATCAGCAGGCACTTAAGAAAATGGGATGCTTAGCTCTGTGACTTGAATTTAATAGAACACGATAATCACAAACCAGGGCGTTTGTTGAGATTAGAAGTTGAACCACCCACTAATCTCCATAGCAGGGAAAACACTGAACGTGTAATTGTACAGTAATTAGCCTGGTGTTGAATTTGTCACTTTAAAATCTGAACAGCTGGTGTAAAGTTTCTCTCTGTGTTTGTTTACTCGATGATAAAAAAAAACAAAAAACTCAAAGTTGACAACAGACTGGAGAGGGGATTCTTTTGTCATTGTATTATTTAATTTCATTAATATAATATTGCTTTGAAATTTGAAACAGTATCACATTTTCTTTGACAAACCACACTCTGTCCACAAACATGGGCAGAGCATTGTATGCTGGTACAGTTTCTTTTTTTTTTTCCCCCTCGACATTTCATTTCCCTTAATAATTCCCAGTTTCTATCTCCAATAGACCTGAATCAATAGAAATGCTCAGTAATGGTCTATATCATAAATGGTCTACAGTGCTCTAAACATTACAGTACCTACATGACAAGATCAGAAAGTCACTTAAGAAGCCAGGAAATAGACTGAGCCTTTCCGACTGGCCTCTCTAAAGACAGGAGTGATACACAGGTCCTGCTTAGCCAGACAACAGGTTTACCGTTTGTCTGTGTGTTTGGAGTCGTATCAGGGGGCAGTGGAGGACCAAAGGGGATATACAGAGTGAGATCTAAAATGTCATAGTAGCGCTGGTTTTGGCCCTGCATGTTGCATAAGGCTTACCTCTCATTTTCCTCTCCCTTTTATTCTCTTTTCCACTGCTCTGCCCGCTAACTGAACACACGCTAAACACACTTCGCATCGGCTGCTCCCCTTCAACTCACAGCTTGGTATCCGGAAACTTGAACGCTGGGGTGAGCTACACAAGGAAAACACCAATGTTAAAAAAGACCGGTACATGCACAGCCATATCATGCCACCAAAACTTGCTTTAAATAGCTGCTGCTCATTAAAGTGTAATGCTTTTACATTATGCATCCATACTAGAGCAGGTTGTCTTGGTGACACACAAAATGGAAGAACATACGTGACAAAATGTTGGAGGAATGAAAGGCAAATGGAGACATGGAAGGGATGAGGATGAAACGCTGTATTTTTTTTTTGGTGAGGGAACATAAAAAGCAAATGGCAGATGAGTGAAGAGAGACGAGACACTGCTACGGTACATACAAAGACTGCTCAGGCCGAGTGCATCAAAGGGTACAAAACACAAAGAAACACTGCCATCATGCATCATCAGTGGAAGCTAACAGTTAACAGTCAGAACAAGGTGGCAAAGACACAGCCACGGTACCACACACAGACCAGCTACATCTTTTTAACAGTCAGTCTGCAGCCACACAGGAGCTCAATGCCTCCCTTCTCCTGCAGCACACATGAAAAAACAAGGACAGCGGACAGTGATGTTAACAGTCCAAACTCCCATGAGGACAGACAAGGAACAAGGCATACAGCACGCACAGCAGGTAGTGCACACGGGGGAGAACCCACAGATTCGTGTCGACTCCACAACGAGCATTTTTGAGTCACAGTGCAGTGAGGAATTATATTTTTTAAAGGGGGGGCAGGGGTGTTCTCGGCATAACAAATCTATTCTCATTAACATGACACCAGAGCAGCACTTGGATTTGGCTCCTTTTTAATGTGGTGGCGTTAAAACCTTTTCACTGCCGTTTGTCCTCAAGTGACATACTTTTGCATGAACTGAACCGAATTTTTAAATTGGTGTGAAACAGCATGGATACCTACCCATGTAATCATGATAATAAGATGCTATGTTGGGAGACATGCGGCAAATTGTGCTCGAGGCTCATTAATACAGTCGTCGAGTCAAATGAAATCGTGCAGACTGGAGGATGTTTTTTGTTTGGATTACAAAATTGTGAAATGTGCAACCTATGTCGGTTCACTCAATACGCTTGTGTTATCTATGTCTTTTGGGTTGTATCATCTTTTTTTGTTTTTTTGCCTCAATATCCGGATACTTTACGGTCCCCTTTTATTCACTCTTCTCCCCCCCCCCCAAGTATCTCAGTCAGACCTGGTCTATCAAGAAGCATCACAAAACGCACCGTTTGCACGGTAAGAAAAGAAAAGAAGAAAAGATATTAAAAGGGATAGTGCCATGTTTTAACACAGTGATTTCTTTTTTTTAATTGACAAGAAGAAGATGCTGTGATTATCTGCAGTCTCTCATTGCTACCATGAATGCTGAGAGACTGCAGAACGGGCAGTACAAGGCCAGGGCAAAGGCTCTCATCTGGACAGAACTGTACCATCATTAGATCACCGTCCCAACGCAGCGGGTCACAGTCATTGAAAAACACCAGGAAATCAGCAGTGTCGTCTTTTTTTTTTTTTTTCTTCTTCTAGAAGCAAGGGGTTGGCGTGCAGTTGTTGGGTTGTGGTGGGTGTGATATTCAGGAAGATTTGGGGCTTAAGTTGATTATAGATAACCCGAAATAAAGTAAGGCTGTCGTCCTCGGTAAAGTGTGGTAAAGTTGTCCTCCTGTGTGTGTACACGGGTTCAGTTCTTGGTCCATATGAGTTCAGACATCAGTGATGGATTCATGATCGATCCATCGGGTTGTAATATGACTACTGTACAAATGAGTAGAAAAAAAAAACAGGTTGTTTTGCTGCATGTTGCTGTTTTTTTATCTTTCATTGATTAATTGTCCGTCTTGCATCCCATGCTAGCAAAGCAGCCTCCTCATAGTGCCTCACAGTGGTAGATGCCTGGTAAGACAGGACAGGCTAAAAGATGGAGAAAGAAAAAAATAAATATATAACTGTCTTGAGGCAAAACAACCAAACAATTAAATAATTCATTAAATTAAAAAAAAAGAAATGATATTGAAAAAGAAAACTAAAAATAATCATTCTTCTGTTTTAAAGACTTTGTATCTGAAGTGTCTGTTAAAAGAAAAGTTAAAGATTCACTGGAGTACTGTTAATATCCCTCAAATGCTTGTGTCTAATAATTGAAGCTCCCACCAGGAGCCGGCAAACTGAGCCTAAAATAAAGACTGATAACGGGGAAGCAGCTCGATTTGCACGATGTCAGGGTTAGAAAAATCAACTGTACTGCTCACTAATTCACATGCTGATTCTGCATGGTTTGATCCTTGCAGAAAATAAAGAGTAAAAAGTGAAAATGTTGTGTAACGTTTGGGTGGGGGGGGAACGTGCTGGACTATTTCTTGCAGACTCCCAGTAATTACGTCAAACCAGTTTGGATTTCTAAATAAAGATCATTTTCCTTGAATAAAATACTAATATAAAATAATTCAATAATCTGAAAGAAGAATAACATAGGAGGGACTTCTGGGAGCTATAAGGGGGTTGCAGTCTCACTCAGGAAAAGGAACTAGTTCAGCATGTAGCACTTCTCAAAGCACCAATTTGTCATTTTTGTACACATAGGGGTTACAAGATTTAGTGTTTGTGTTATTTCAATGCTGGTTCTTATGTTTTGTTGCTTTTTTTCACAGCCAGGCTAGCTGTTCCTCACTTATTTGCAGTCTTTAAGCTAAGCTAAATTAGCTGGCAGCTGGCAATAGCTTCTTGTAAAGGAGATTAGATCGTAGCTTTATAGCTTGTATAGTTCTCAAATTTGTCGGGATGAACTTTTTTTTACATGGTCCCAAGACAAATAAAATAATAAATCTAACAGTTCAGAAGAGAGGGTGATATAGATATATTCTGATAGAGTTCTGATCAAGACGATCATTAAGCGTACATTTTTTAAACTTTTCTTTTAACAGTTACACAAACTGTAATACCTTAGATATTATATGAAACTGTGCAACTGTTCTGTATTCTTGAAAGTGCAACCTCAACCTTCCTGAAATATAAATTTGTTGCGACTTAAAGCCAATCCGAAGTCTACATAGAGAGCAAAATAAAAATGAGCATGCTCGTTTTGCCTGTGAAGAATCAATGTTTTTTAAAGGCCTGAAAGAGAAAAGAATAATAAAGATGCAACCTCTGGGATCTATCTGGGATTTGGAGGCAGATGCAAGTTGTCAGGAGGAGGAGGATGAGGAGGAAGAGGCAGTTTGGTTGAGAGAGCAGGGCCACTGTAAAATGACATCGGTCCAGGATCATCCGGTCCAGGGCTCCGGCATGGGCTGTAGCAGCAACAGGCGAGGGAGGCTGCCGGGGGTGGTGGGGAGGAATGGGGGGGGGGGGGGGGGGGGGGGGCAGGAGTGTTTGTCATGACGGGTAGAGAGGTTTGTGTGGGTCGCTGGGCAGGGCAAAGGAGGTTGCAGGAGTGGGCAGCCCTGAGGGATGCTATACCATCACAGTGAAAAGGCACGGGGCTCGCATGTTTATGTTTGAGTGTCTGTGTGTGTGTGAGATAAATCAAGAACCGGATGCAGGGGGGAGAGAGGGAAGCACGAGGGGGTGCAGAGGGGCGGCTGTGGGGATCCCGCCTCAGAATATGGTGGTCTCGTACTTGGTGCTGACGGGGCGCCTGTTGGAGTCCCGGTGGTCCAAGAGCCAGGTGGTGCTGCCCAGGGACTGCATGTCTGGGTCCATCTCCAGGGGGTCAATCTGCCGGAGGGGAGGGAGGGAGGAGGGACGAGAGGAGGGTGTGAGACGGGCAGCAGCCGAGGCCATTGCGTCACACTGACAAGTCCTCAGCTCACACACGTGCATGTGGATTAGAGGTACAGTCCAGTGATCATGTTATAATCACAGACACTCAGGGCTCAATCCACAACATGGATGATGTCTGACAGAAAATACTCTGTGTTAGACGCAGCAGTAAACCAAAGCCACAACCCTCTGGGAGTAAAAAAAAAAAAAAAAAAAAAAAGCCCTGATTAGTTGTTCAAAAGCAATGTCTGCTCTACAACAGTGGCTCCTACAAACATGGGGTCTGTTTTCATTATATAAGCAGTCAAAACACACACACTGATAAATTTACTGCGAGCTAAAAATGAATTTTAAATGGCTAAAAAAACCCTCTCAAGATAAGGCATTTTAATATATTTTTAATTCCCTGCGAATGGATGACATCTTCAGCTCAAAAAGATAGTAACACAAAGAATAAGAGCGGGAGCTTAAAACCATCCAACAGACAACTTCAACCATCTTGTTTACGAACCCTCCCTGGCACAATTAAGCCAACAGTCCTCAGAGAAGCGTAAAGATAGAGGAAGCAAATCACATCAAGAAGCCCTTTTCTTCCTGAATGTATTTAACCACAGAAATGAACTAAATTCTAAAATGTGCAATGAAGATGAGAGATGGGAAAGTAAAGGGATGAGAAGAACATTTATGCCTGATATATAAATATCTGTATGACAAGGAGACAAAGTGCATCGCAGCACCCGATCAACAACAACCGAAAACAGAAAGAAAAGAAAGAAGAGGAGGGATAATTGTGTAAGCTGATGTGTGGTGATTACAGGTTTAATAGAGGAAAGGAAAGAGAAGGACCTGGACTCCAGGGCTAACAGAGTGCAACGGGAGGAAGGAAGGACGGTGGGTAGTACACGTGTGACAGTGACAGCAGCGGCATTCGAGCAGAGGGGCACCCTGGGAAGCAGGAGGACCAAGAAGACAAGAACAAAGACATGTTAAAAAAAAATGAGAGAATAGAGGGACAGAGCATTAAAACGCACCAAACAGATTATTAAATAGCGGCAGTAGGAGCTGTTGTCACCTGTCTGGAGCTGAAGAAGGCAAATGAATCAAGAAAATTATTCTGCTACTTCTTGTGTTCTTGTAATTGACATTCACTACAACCCTCCCCTAAAGAGCGCCTGTCCAATCACAGCTTAGCAACCGTAACTAGGCACGGCAGGTCTGTCAAGGTTTGGATTTGTACACATGTTGAAGCGGTGTGCTGAGGCTCTTGTAAGGATTTAAGATTCTGGGAGTGTAGTGTCTTTTTTTAGCCTTCCGACAAACAAACAAATAAATAGTGAGGAGTTATATTTTCAGTGTTCATCTTCTGTAACGTGAGCTGCTTACATTGCATGCTCCGCTAACTAGGTTACTACTGTAGCCACGCAGTGTTACTGCGGAGGCAAAGAAGCACATCATTATGTAACAGCTTTATATGGTTGCAGGATTTTTTTTTTTGAAAAGCCTGGTTCACATACACATAGTTTCCCACAGTGTGGAAGCAAGACTAAAATAGATACTACTCAGTGAAAGTTAACTTCAGCAGCCCCATCTTTCTTTTGACAGAAACGAACACTTCAGCAACCCAAGCTGAAATGTATGAGCATGTTGCTCCTCACAGAGTAAGGTCCTGTTACACCAACTTTCATTTCTACAAATGAAAGCATCATTTCAAAATAGGTGTGTAAAAATAAGCAGCCAAACCAGGTTATACAAACACTTTGAGCTTACATGAGTCCCGATCATGATTTAAATACCAGGACTAACTAGTGGTGTTTTCATACAAAAAAAGTCCAGATTTACCTGGAATTCTTCCGGTCAGCATCCTAGTAAAATGTTTGTGTGAAGTTGGGGTCAACCAATGTGTAAATGCAGCAGGAGACATGTAAGAAAATCCACTGCCAGCATGCAGGTGGAGGCGATGTAACCAGTGCTGTCATAGTGCATGTAGTGAAGCAGCAATACTCCATGTACTGTACACTTACTCGTTGATACTGTGAATATGTTCAGCAGTGTAATATATATGTAAACACAGCAGTGATAGAAAGGCAAAAATAGCATCGGACTTTGTTGTCTTGTCCGCCGCTTCTGCATTGCCCTTTTAACATCATGTCCTGCCTGAGACCCCCCCCCCCCCCCCATCTGACAGGGAGAGTCTCTAGCTGTGAGTTGCAAATGGAACAAGACAACTCAGAAAGATTTCACGGCTAGCTTTTGTGTTGTTGTTGTTGTAGTGCATGTGTAAAAAAAAAAAAAAAAGTCTTAGCTTTACTTTGCAATACAGTACAACTGTCTTTCTCCAGCAGGAGCTAGCTTGTTCAACACACTCCCTGATCTAACATAATCCTTACAACCCAACTAGCTTCAGCCGATAAACTCTGCCAGCAACACTCGTTTTTACAGCAAGACTCATTTCGACTGAAGCCTGTCATTGTGCACTTCTGTTTGAAAGCAAGGACCGATTGTTATAAAAAAATATTGTTAATTTAATTGATTGTGCCTTGCAAACTACACAGCTGTAGCAGCAGTAACTCACGGGGTGGGAGCTAAATGGTCGGTCAAATGAAAAAAAACTTTATGGCTAAAACATTTTCTTTTCAAACTGCTATTTTTTTTTAGCATTCACACAGCCATAAAACACATTAAAACAAATTGCAGGAGATAGAAGTCCCCCCCCATCTCATTTAAAACTTAAACAACCAGCCAGACTCATTACGCAGCTCTGTGATTACTCCATATATTATCCTCACAGGCAGGTAGTAAAACAAAGTGATTTGTCTCTGGAGAAGCATGTGGTCTAACAGTGTGCGTGCTTCTGGCTGTGCAGCTCTCTTAGGTGACAGTGATCACAGAGTGCTCATTATATGCAGCCTGAGAGGTCAATGCATCACTGCGTGGCTCAGAGTATACGTCGACATTTAGGCAACACACTTAATCAATAGTGAGGTAGCAGTGGATCGGTCTAACCAACAGGCCTGAGCCCTCAGGAACGTCCCGGAGGAAATCATAAACCTGCCTGTGGGCAACAAATAAAAATCCTCATTCATCATGTTTCACATATGCACAAAAAAAGAAATCTCCCCCTGATCTGAGTGACTCAGATTTGAGGGGTGGGCGTGATGAAATTGTTAGCAAAGTAATGACTCATCACTTCCAGCCACATACACAGCAAATCTCACTTTCTAGGAGGTCTTTTGGGGTTTCAGGAGGGGGGAAAGTCGGTCACGAGGTCGGTGAACCTTTTCTGAATCACGATTACTTTTCTACTTTACCTCTGTCCCTTAGAAAAGTGGAGCAAATTCAACACACGCAAACACAGGAACACACACAGAAAACACATTCAACAGGTATTTGTAAAGAGGTTGTGAAGGTGGTACTCACTGCTGATCTCCGCATACTATTCCAGGACTGAGAAACAGGACGGCTGGTTTTGGTTTCTATGACCTCTGGGCTCAGAGACGTAGGAGGGACATATTGTCTCGCCCTGGTCTGCATTGCCATCTGATAGGCCACTTCAAATGCCTGCCCCAGTGTGAGGATGATCTCGTAGGTCTGTGTCTGTGTGAATAAAAAAATAAAGTGTTGAATCAGTATAATTTTTAGTATTGACTCAGTGATACAAGACAATAATTTGCAATGTCAGCTGGTGTTTACACAAACAACTTCTTCACAGCGTTTGTCGAAGATAAGCCATTTTTTTACAAACCTGACTAAACATTTTGTTTTTTGTACTTTTTAGCCAAGAAGCTTGGGATAATACATTCAAAAGTTAATATAATTTGTATGACTTCAGACTCCGTCACTGTTATTTAATTGGGTTTTACAAAATCTTTAACAATTATTTGTAGATCCCACAAAACAGTATTGTTTTGCATACAAAAGTGCTGCTCCTCACGTTGTCAGGATAGTGACTTTGTGTAATTATATGTTGGGCTCTTGCTTGAATATCCCACGGAGTGTTAGGGAAAAGCCAGAGCTATTAAACAATACACTGTGCACATGGAGCAGTTGCGTTAAATTAAAATAAAGAAGGCAGAAAATTGTGTTGCGGCCTCGTTAAACTTAAAAAAAAAAAATCCCTGCAGTTAACAGACACTTGACGGTGGTTCATCTGCCAAAGATAAAAGATTGCCATTGACCTTTACAGAAGCTCAGACACAAATGATATAATTTTCTATGCCTGTAAATGGAAATGCCAAAATGCCATGCATAGCAGGAGCAAAACCTCAATCAAGTAATTCGATGAGCCAATCAAGGAGATAATGTCTGCAGGATGCTTCATGTTGTTTTAACAGCGGGATACCCGACATCACACAAAAGAAAATGTTCAAGACTAGTAATTGATGAATTTCCGTCATACATCTCAAATATTATATGAAGACTGAGTAATTTTCTCAATGGATCGTGAGGAATCTAATGTTTTTCCAGATGAAAGTGAGTCTTAATGCTTGTGTTTTGAGTAGACAGGGATTGTTAATATTTGTCTCCCTTTCTCCAGAGAGAGCTGTACTACTCACCACTTCCACAGTGCTGAAGACATGGCAGAAGTGGTGGCCACTCTTCAGATCCTTGGTAATATAAGCAAAAGTGCAGAGGTCATCTGGGTCCTGAGCGGCACATGAGATGTTCCTGATCTCGTGCTCCGCAACTATGGTCTAATGGAAAGAGGAGGGGAGTGAGTACTACCTGGAAATCAGGTCCTAATGGGGGCTGAGAGAGTCGCTGAAATGTTTGTGATCAACAAATCAATACACACTGAGACACACAAACATTCTTTCCCATTACCTTTGTGGCTGCATCAATGAACTTGACCCCTCTATAGGTAATGGATAGTATGACTACTGGACCCTTTCTGGAATCCTTTGATTTCTGCAATAAGGAGTGAGTGGTTAGTGTACACGGTAAAACAAAACACAATGGTTCTAGCACTATAAACAGTAATATTTATGAACTACGACGTGCACAGAATGGGAACAGTGAAAGTCAGTTTTGTTTTTTCTTCTCATGTCTGACATTTTTATAGTTTATTTGCTGGAATTTACTCAATTTGATAAAACACTTAAGCTTTTGTTCTTTGAAGTGAAGGGAATTGTTAAAGCATTTCAGTTTTACTTACCCTAATTTTGGCACAGGCATCTTGTGTGGATTCAATACCTCGAAGATCCCTGATTATCATTGATCCTAGGTACTAAAAGAACAAATCAAAACACAACAAGGTTGGTTTAATACTATTCCAACATGGGTTCTGACCACAGAATGTATGAAGAAGTAAATGTAGCTTAAAGTTTAGCATTTGGTAGCTGCCATCTTGTTTTTTGGGAAGTAGAAGTACCATATTTGGGTGTATATGCATCGTTATGTTTCTATACTAACTCAGACATTCCAACGAGAGAGTGAAATTTCACTCACAGGAGGCCATGCCCTTAAAGGGATACTTCACCCATTTACATTAAGCTTTGTATCATTAGAAACCTGGTAGTATTTTTAATGGTTGTGCATCCCGCCCTCATTTTCCCCTGAGATGGGAAATCTTTGTATTTCTAAGTCTGAAAAGGAGCTTCCAGTGACACAAAATGACGATTTTTGCATCACTCGAAGCTGTTGCGGTTAGCAGGGTGAAACTACAACGCTAGTTCCTCATATTTTCGACCACTGAAGCTACAGACCAATCACAGATCAGTGGGTGGGAACTCACTCCCAGAATCGAAACTTAACATCCGCCATATTTCTTAGAAGCTATGCTAACAGGCGCTATGGAGAAAGCTGATAATGGAAAAAAATATAAATATAGCGGTGAGACGGCTGCTGCGACAGGCCGGTCTGTGTTTGGGAGCTTCGGCCGCTGGCTGCCGTTTTACGGCTATATTGCTATACTGCTGTCTGCCGCCGCTGCCAGCTCAGCAACCGAGACATAATGCCTGCCTGTCGGGGGCGGTGAGGACGAGGAGCCCAGGGCGGCTCGAGCTGGGGCGGACTGGTAGTGTCGGTGCTCTCACTGTTTGCCTATGGACACAGACATAGAGCCTGTTTTTTGCCAGGAATTTCCAAGATGCTAATTCCTTCTGAAGAAATCCCGGAATCAGTTGAGGAAACGGCCTTATGTGTTATGTCTGTAAACCTGACCTTAGTGGAAGTGTCCTGCGGTGCTGTGCATTCTGGGATTTGGTGTCTCTCATCCACGAGTCAAAAAAGACACTTTCTGCCTTTTCTCAGCCAAGAAGGCCCAACTTCAAAATTGATTTCACATTTCTACATATGACCCAATGTCAATACAGATTCATGTTTCAACGGGTGAAGTATCCCTTTAAGGATACCCTTATTTATCATCAATAAATCGGACCATAATTAACTAAATAAGAATCATGCTGTATTTAATAACACTTAAAACTAGTAATTGGGAATCTTAAAATGTTCCATTTTTCAAATGGGCTTCATACATGGGACAACCAGTGCAGTCTTCTCCTGCTGGCCACAAGAATGCAGGTTTAAGTCACTTTTGCATTTGGCTTCAGTTGAACTAGAGATTACGTCCACAACTTCATATACAGCCTATGTTGCTGACATGCTTCAAACTGACTAAAGAGCACAAGATGGAAACACTTCAGTTCAGTTTTTAGACAAAAAGCAGGAATATGGTATAAAAAATTGCAGGTCTGTGTCCTTGCTAAAAAAAAACAGACAACAAAAATGACTTACAGTTGCCTCGTATCCGCAGGATTCCAGGATGAGTTTCTCAGGCTGGTGATGCCAGGCGGATACGGTGGCGTAGGTAGCAGACTGGCTCGGCGGCCGGAGGTTTAAACGAGAGTCTTTATGTCGTTCACTCTGTCTGTCCTGTACAGTGAACGCACCAGGAAGAGGAAACATTACCAACATGTTTTACTTGGAAAAAAAGCTTACGGAAATGGCAGTCCTCGCAGTTTTAACCTCTCATCTATTTTTTCACACATATACAAAGCTGAGTCTGTATAAAGGACTATTATTATAATCATTACTGGAACTGAACGTTTGTAGAGACAATGACTCCATGTACAGTTGCATCTCAGTCAAGGTAGTGAGGTACAACATCTGACTGTTGCACATTAGTGTAAAAGCAGCTGAAGTCTGCTTGGTCAGCGTTTCTCTAGAAGTCCTTTATGATCTGCTGGTTTGCTCATAAATATTCATGACAAGGTTTGGGCCTTTTGGTCAAAGTGGGCTTTGCTTGGCTCTCTCATAAATCACTTGTCAGAGTAAAATATACCATTGGAAATAATCCACTAAGCATTTGGGGGAAATGATGAGTATTGATTTTAAACTTAATGGATCCCTGTGAGTGCAATCAGGCAACATTTCCCTGATCTGTGGATGCTCCCATGTGTTTTCTCGTCGGCATCTGTGAGTCAGAAAAACTAGGGCTGCCATCTTGACTTTAAGCTTGACGTAAGCTAACCTTAAGCAGTTGGTCGAATTTGATCACTGGGCTATTTTTGGTTGAGACAATTCTCTTACAAAGCTTTTCTTTTCCCGAATGAGTTTGCTTTTTGTACCTTCTTCATCACCAGTTTAATTTGTTTTGGTTTTTTTTGTGCTAAAAAGAGTGGATGTGACGTCAAGAATACCAGCTCTGTTTACAAATGCAGCTCCCGAAACTTTCTTCACCAAATAAACACAGTAGACCAAGAAAGGCAAGAGTTAACGTAATGAAGATTAACACAAATGATTGAATCTGGGAACAGTGAAAGAACAGACTCTGTTCTGCTGCATTCTGTACCAACCTGCGGGATCTTTGCCCCGTTATACGTAAGTCAAATATGGGCTTTGGTTAAGGGGCAGGACATCTATACTGTGGCTCCACCAGCCAGATCCCTTCTGTATATGTCTTGGCTCCAAATGACATAATCCAGCACAATAGCTCAATGCCCGTCATGGGAGTATTTTGGCAGAATTCATACAACAGGAGGGGAAGTGACGCACTGACCACAAATATATATACTGAATGGGTAAGTTCCACCCAGGTATATTAATGAGTTACGAAAGCTATCACAGTGTCAGCATGTGAATCTCTAACACAGAGTTTGTACAGCCTAAAAAGAAAAATTCAAGCACTCCCAAGCTACCAAACCAAATTTCCAAACTCTTAAAGTCTTTATCATCACATCTACAATCTATTATACCAGCTACTAGACAAAATCGTTTCTTTGTTTCATTTCAGCTTTTTACTCGTGGTGACTCATAATGTAAATGCACACAAAAGCAGCCATTTCCCAATGAGCATATTTAAATTCGAGCATCATTTTATCCTTGAAATCATAATGTTTGAAGTGAAGCATTTTGAAGCCATTTCATATTGCTGTCTTGTATCTTATGGCAAACCTTTAATACTCCTTTAAGGTCTTTATTGGTTACAGTCTGATGTGGCTGTGGTTCTCTGGGTTAGCCCACTGCGTCAGAAAAATGTGACTACAACTCCAACAGCATGTGACAAGACAGCCTGACACATCCGGCTGTGTACAGCCTCCTCCTCTATTATTCAGCCAGTCGTTCACTGAAAGTCTGTTCTTTGGTGTTTTCCCAGAAGAAGATAAAAGAGGAAGGACTCACTACAGAGCGCGGCCTCTCGCAATATGAGCGCAGAGAAACACTACAGTCTTGGTCGACTCCTCTCCGCCTCCGGTCTGTCTCAGTCAAGGGCAGGAGCATGTCCATGGAGCGACTGGTGTAGGGGTCCATCTGACTGAGGGGGGATGTGGTCTGGGACAGGAGGTCATGAAACTGCCACATACAAACAAACACACAAACAGCACAAATTAATGGTTTGACAGCACTGTCTACACGGCTTTTTTCCCTGATCTACAGCCAAGACTAATCCTCAACAAAAGAGCCTCTTCCAAGGAGATACTCAGTTCTTTTCAGGCCAGTATAATCTGCCTGGGAATCAGCCCTGAGTATTTAACTGTTGTGAACATAATGATATTGAAGAATCTCTTTCCAAAATTAGACATCGGTTGCTAAAAAAAAGGATCCATTTTCTCACAAAATGATGTTGGCATGGAAATAAAGCTTCTCATGAAACGTTGTTTACCTTCTATCTGAAGCTCTGTTTGGATTGTGGTTCAAAAAGAAAGATAACAGGGTGTAATCACTGATCTCTATTTAAATACTGAGCACTAGAACAACATATGTGAACCCTTTTTTTAGCTTTTTTAGTGATCACTAAATTTGGGTTATATTGGAGAGTTGAGCAGACCTACCACTTTTAATTGGCCATATTGAGAATACCCATCTGTTAACTTAATTAGCATTAACATCATGTTTCCGCACCCTAAATTGTAGATCTAACAATGCTGATGTCTGATTTACACACTTGTGTGACTAGGAGCTTTAAAACATTGTTTTCAACTGCACTCTCTTTTTTTCTAGCTTCAAGGAAGGGTCAAGATCAAGTCAATGCCACAATACATGCATTCATTTTCCTCTACCATGAGGCTCAGGGTAGGAGGCTCAAATACTTATTTATCATTTTGAATCTCTGTGTTCCTGATTGCAAGTCCCAAAAACAGAAAGATTCTGACAAATTTTCGTCATGATCACTTTGGGTATAATGCTGAGGTTAGCTTTTTGAGTGACAGTTGGTAATGGGTTTTTTCAGGCCAAATATCCCTTTGGATTATCACTGTTCATTGTCTTTTTAATTTCTGTATAATCGTGAAGCTGTGAAAAATGGTGCTGATTTTGTGGATTCCATACCAGTAGGATTGGCAACCTGAAACAGCAATCTTTTAATACACTTTTGATATCAGTAATTGAGCTTCCTTCCTTCCTTGAGCGTGATGTCAGGAAAAATGCCACCTTGATAAAATGGCTATTAAAGCACAACAATAAAGACTTCATCACAATGCAAATGAGTATCAGGTTCTATATCACCAGTCTTACCAAGATTGGAGACAAACGACGGGACTTAGAAGGAGCCTCTTCATACGGTCTCTCTGCTAAAGAAGCAATGATCCTCTTTCTGTGGCCCAGGGGACCAACCTTAATAACCTAGAGAGGGAAGTTCAGGGCACATAAGGCAAGCTTCTCATAAATATCTCAAACACACACATCATCTATCTACTGTGGACTAAGCTAATAGAGATATATCTAAAATACACTGACACACAGTTGGTGGCATGAACCCCTCTCTGGCAGGCTTCCACTAGCAAACAGAAATGACTCTCGTCAATAATTCAGCCTCAATCTGTTTTGCCGTAAGCTTAAAGTACAGCACTGTCTCCTTCCCAGGACGCTCTATAATTCACGACCCATTTTTTTTTTTTTTTTTACACAGTGCTTAAATAACAGAGGAGAATTTGACGATTTATGGGACAGAATATGTAAATAACCATGCCATTCAAAAACTGTTTTGCAAAGACCCATTTCATTTGTCACAATTTGGATATATGTTTTTAATTAAGGGAATTTTAATGCTGCAATTTCACCCTGTCACACCTCTATCCCCAGCATCTCTGTCTCTCTAAACCTTTTACAAATTCTTTCTCCGCTTCTGTGGCTAAAACCCACTGAGGAGGTAGTATAGGTTAATTTTATGTAGTCAAAACTCATTATCCTAACACTGTATATTTGCATAATTGGCTATTAACATTCATGCTCATCCAGTGAAGGTGGATGTCGAGTGATTAATGTTACATTTGTAATTATGTCGCTGGTACAAAATATTCCATAACAGGCTCATATGCTTCTTTGTCTGAGGGCTTCAATTATTTATTCAGTGAGAGTCAGAGGACGGAGATGCAACTGGTCTTTCCTCTGGATCTCTGGTGCTGTTTTCATTATTTTCATGTGCAGAATTCCACTGAGGCCAGTATGCATGAGGTATGTGATATAGGAGAAGATTTAAATACTAATAAAGAGCCGTGGGATTATATGGGAGTGTAAACCAGCCCATAGATCAAATTGATGGTTCCTACTATTTGCTGAAAGATGCTAGAGAGGCTGAAGGAAAATGAAATGGGCAGCGCAAGTTCTGCCAAGATGCTCAGAGGCAGTTCTGCTATTCTGCACACTGAAAGTAATGTGCCCTGCTCTCACACCCATCTTTCTGTACTAAGTCGCGGTCTGCTGGACACCATCCCTCTAACACTGCATACTGTATGTCTGGCTACTGCTGCTGCAGCAGCTGTTGCAGCTCTCTGCCATTTTGCCACCGCTGTCTTTGAACTTATCGCAACAAAACACACATGGAAATGTGCGGATAAGTCGGAAAAATATGATCTCTGTAAAGAAGCTAATCACTTCTCAGACGCTGGTTATCAGCCATGTTCGAGCCTGTTTGGATTGTCTGGTAGCCTGTCACAACATAAACAATGTATTTGTCTACACTATTAGTTTTTACTGCTTTAAGTCTTAAACTTTAACAAATATAATGTCAGCACATCATTGTAATCAGCTTATAAAGGCTTTAACATCAGTAGTGACAAATTACCCAAATAAATATATCAATCAATATATTAATACCACTTTAGGAGAAACTTGATGGTCTCTGCAATGAAGTGGAAGTAAATTGTGTTTCATTCCACAACAAATAAGGCATTTCAGATAAGTAAAAAAAATAGACTTTTTATAGCATATGCCTTAAGTGTCTTTCCTCTCCTTCTTATCATCTTACAAAGGCTCAGAATCTCAGGAAGCCATGGGGACACCACTGCTTTAGTCTGAACACACACAAACTCACTAACGGACAAACCAACCGAATTCAGCATCATTTCTCCGTCCCTTTCACAAGTTTATTCCACCAGAAATTATTGCTTTATAATTAAAAAATTGGCATACAATTTTACTTTATTGCCAAGAAGATTAAAATGAATCGTAATCCCCCGTCATCGATCACCACATTGCTCTTCAATTTAGATTGTATCAGCTAAGTATCTACTAATTACTAAGCGATGTTTCTGTTGTAATTTAATGCAAACACTTTCATTATTGAGCATCTCTCTGTTATTTCAGGATTGTTTTTTAAAAAAACCTCTTAATCTCCAACATGATCCATAACTCTGATAAGACCACTCTATGTGAGACCACTCTGTGACACCTGGTCCTGAATGTCTCAACACATGAGGCCATGAACAATCCTGTTTTTTTAAGAGCTTTAGAGACAATTTAATTCTCATTCCATCATCCAGAAGAGGCCAAAATCCAACATAGTCCTGGATAAAATAAAAGAGACAGCTTCTTACATTGACAATCTCCAGCTCCCACAGGTTCTTCACACACTCCAGTGTGCGGTAGCCACTTGAGAGAAAGTTGGGCAGATATTCATGCAGACCCAGACCATCTAGCCACGAGGCAAGAGATGTGCTGCCATCACAGCCCAGTGCTTTTACCTGCAGTGAAGGGAAAGACAAATGTAGGAGAGCAGCTACTGTAACTTTCTCTACGGAGAAAGGGACTTGAAGTAGGAATGAAAATATTATATAATTGCTTAGAAATTTTGTTCATAAATCTGCTTTTCCTAACGTTTTTTCTGAAATCACCATCACATCAAAACTGTGTAGTCAAATACTTTTGTTCTTGATTAAATACCTGAAAACCCAATGCTATTGAAAAGCAGCATACGTTATACATTATTTAAAAATGTAGCATGCAAACTTCCGTCTATGCTTTATATATAATACATATCAGAATTGGAACGGAAGGAAAATAACCTTTATTGTGTATTTGTTAATTCAATGAAAATGCTCTATGGTTTCACAAGTCAAGCTAAAACCCAAGAATGAAGTGAAACCCAAACATAATCGCAATACCAGTCTTCTTCAGGATGGGACCTGTCCATGTTTTTAAGATTTTCATAATGAAATAGCCAATTGAGTAAAGAACTTCTACTTTTTTAAAAGGAGAGTTCCTTGTTTTTTTTCTCCCCTTTTGAAGTTAATGTTCAAACCTTCCAATTATATTGGGGTTTTTTGCCTCTAAATCCAAGTGTCTGTGGTTAAAAATGGTAAATTATGGACTGTTTATTCTTGGGTCGTTGCTATTCAGGTAAACAAAACTGCATTTGTATTTACCGACATCCACTAAAACCTTGTTTTCCCTTTACTGTTTATTTTGCTTGCCATTATTTTGATAAACATCCTGAAATGTTGACCTCCTCCTGAGACCCTGTCAGTCACTGTTTCTCCTCAGTGCCGAGGTTAAATTATGATGTTAAGTACCTTGGGCAAGCTGCGTGCCGCATGAAGGATTTTCTTTCTGTGTCCTGGGTCGGTGATCCCCATGTCTCTGAGATCCTGGTCCTCCATCACGTTACTTCCCTGCACGAGCACAAACGCAAGAGACACACACAAGTAAACGCATTCACGCACAGGCACACACACACACACACACACACACACACACACACACACACACAGAGCCATACTCAAACACATGCAGGCAAACATTCACACACACACACAAGCGAAGGCACAGAAACAATACACAATAGGGACATACAACAGTACAATATATGAAAATAATACCGTAATACTGTGAATCGTGAAGTGATGTACATATCTGCACACTCAGCAGAGTCTTCACATGAAATATAGTACTGACATACATACATGAGGACATAGGTCAATCAAAATATCATGACTTGTTCTACAATGCAACTACTACTTAGGCATAATGATAGCAGTGCAAACACACTCATTCTTATAAATTACACACATGAACACACAGGCAGAATATGCACACAAGCAGAGTGGGAGGACAATGAAGTCAAATGAATTGAGCATGCCAAGAGTAATCAATCTGATCTGGTGCGACTCAGAGGGAACAAAGCCTTCATAGCTGCAGCAGCATCTACTGGATCTCTGTGCGGCTGTGTTTCGTTGAGGCAAACCAAATTCTCAAAGAAGAAGTGCAGAACATTGCACTACACTTTGTACAAATTTCTTAATTTAGAACAACGAACAACAATCTTTTTCCACCTCCTGAAATCTTCCCTGACAAGCAGATTCTTGTCTATTTCATGTAGCCGTACATATTTGCCGCTCCAGCTGCTTTGTCATCTTATTCTGGTTTATAGGCAGGAATAAAGATACAAGGAGAAACCCTGAAAATGTGGAGCTAAGCGTTTTTTCCCCACTGGGCTGCCGCAGATTGATTCTTCCCGGCCAAGAATGTTAAAATGTTCTGTAGTCTTTACTCAATCTGCTCTTACTGGATTGGTTTCAGAGCACAATGCAGCAGTGTTCACAGGCCTGTATCAGGGTGCAGTCTGGAGATTACTCACTGATCGCGAGAATAAAGGTCAAAATGAGGCAGGGTCTGATGTAAGGGAGGCCCAAAATAGACTCTCCACTTTTATTAACACGGTTTGAAGTTTGATGATGCCTCGGGAGACTCTGTAAACTTATTATTTCATGCTGCATTTGAAACATGTAACGGGAATGTATGGTTCAGTTCTTACATAGCTTATGAGCTATCGTGGTTTGATTTAACATGATACGACTTGCAGATGCAGCCATGGTAGAAGTCCTTCATCTCTCTAAATGCGCTCAGTTAATTCAACAGTGAATTAGAATTGCTCTGCTGCTCTGCACCACAGAGGAAGTGTTTGGGAAAAAATCTAATTTTGTGAGTTTTTCCAAAAGTCATATGTGTAACAATATGGATGTTCAATTCTACATTCTAACATTTTAGAGAGAGCAGGCTGCAGGATCTGATGAAATATTAATGCAGAAAAGATGCAATGTAAATGCACGATGGGGAACTTTTTTTTGCCTCGTTTCAACACAAGTTAGGAGATCAGAGCATTCAAGTGATGTTCAAGTCCACTGAGATTGATCACATCTGAACATGTCCAGCACATTCTGAAAGGGCAAGATATAAAACATTCACCATGTCTGTCTGACTACTCTGACCTTTCCCTTGTTTGCATCTTCTACATCCTTGTAAATATCCATGGGTAATTTGCCTTGTGAAGCTAATGATTTATTTCCCTGATACATCAAGTCCCGAAGACACATTACTTGTGGCGTGAAAATGAACATCAGAATGACTAATGATCCATAGTCTTCTTCAAATTATATTCCAGAGATCTCCAATGTCAGAATCTTGCAACACAAGAAGATAAAAAAGTTGCACTGTTTTTTATTTTACAATTGTCTGAATAATGTGTAAGGCAATACAATGACATACACCAATACTTTTAATAATAAGCTTGATAATTATTTGATACCTTGGGCTAAATTGGGCTATTGAGAGAAATGTTGCATGTCATTAAGCAGGACTGATTTATGGCACTGGGTTTACCAGTGTTGTCTATTAATTTAATGATCACGTTGGTTGGTTAGGGGTTCAATTTAGTGCATTTGTGAAACAATAGTATTCAAGTTCTGACTATAGAGAGAGATTATAGAAAAGCCATACAAAAGCCCGGATGAGAATTGAGGAGGATAACAATAATAATAATTTTAATATTCTAATATTAATATGATGAAGGATCTTTGGGGTCCAGGTGCTCCTGTGGTAAAGGTGCATTGCATTTTTTATGAATGCATGATCATTGATTTGGTAAGAGCCTAGAATCCTTTGTTACATACCATTCCTGTTATCTTTTCAGTGTGTATATACGTATACATTTACAAATCAATATGTGTTAAAGAGTAATAGTACCACTGTTAGTTTTAAAAGCCAATTGTTCCCTGCAGAGGTGCAGTAAAAAAGACAGAGAAGACGGATTTATGTTGTGTTTCAGTAGCATAACGATCAGTTGATTAGGCATAAAAAAAGCTGCTGTGTGTTCATGTGAAAAAGGCATGTGGAATCCAAATCAATCAGGGATGGGCGGGTTGCAAGAGGGGTGGTCATGGCTAACGGAGAAGGGGGAAGAATTTCAGGAGCTTCATTGGAAGCCAAATAATTTAAGTTGCTTGGAGTGAAAAGCAAAGTTATGTTTGTCTAGTTTTGCTTAAAATTGATCCAAACCTGGATTAAAAATGATGATTTTATCTGAACCATGGATTTGGTGATGTGTTGCTACAATATTTCTTATTTGTCTCTGTCTGAGAAACTATGTAATGTTGACTCTGTCTCTTAATACCATACAGTATATTTTGGCATTTGGGTACTGCAATGTCTTGGTGCCTTTTTGTTTGAGACTTACACCAGCCATGATGATTTCTCAGCATCCATATCATATTGTAATTATTTAATCTGACTATATTCTCTGATGTGAAATACTACTGCTCAATCAAGTTGCAACCTTTTGACAGAATATAATCCAGTTGTGATAATTCTACTTTTTGTGGCATGGAGTATGTGTGCAGGTTCAAATACATTTCTGACCCTGTTTTGTAGTAAGAGGTGTCACATGGTCATAGAATTACTATTATGTGTGAACTCATACCTCACTAGAAAGAAAAACAGACCAGAGAGCAGCGGTCCTCCACTGAAACACTTTGTGAATACAACCACTTTCCCTCTGAGCTTACTGGTCCCACTTATCTCAGCTCAACTGTGAGAAACTGATGTAACATACAGCCTATTGTGCTAATGCAGCTCTGTGGTCTGAAAAATGTACACATTTGCCCTTTGGGTCTAGTTATTTACAGTGTACTGCCATGTTTTTCAAAGTAACATCACCTGAGGATTGAAAACGTAATTGTGTTTTCTACAATCATAGCTAAATGCAAAATCAAGTTCCCTTACACACGCGCTTTTACAGGAAACATGATAATGCTTTTAGTCAAATTTTGGACGTACTTTTGGCTGCAGTTAAATGAAATTATCAATATGTAATCATACAGAGGCGTTTAAAAATGCAAAGCATCATGCAAAATGTGTCAATGCCTTTCAGAAACACTAATCTGTCTGATCATGTCTTCTAATCCATCACAGCGGACAAATAGCTTTCCATAATTTACTTACTATTCAAATGATACATTTAGAAAATAAATGTTTCATCAAAATCTAAAAATCTTGAGTATTCAGTGCATAAATACAGCATTCGAGCACGCTGCTGCAGTGTAATTATACACTGTGCAGTCTTAACAAGACAGTCTCATAAGCACCACGAGCAGAGCACTATTTGAAGAGGATTTAATGAGATTTGGTGATCAACCATGCAAAAATGTATTTAACTAGAAACTAGAGTTTGTTTAGACTGAGGACAGTTTTTGCAGGTTTATCTGGGTCAAGAGAGGTCAAGTGAGGTGACAGTAAATCAGAAGATTGGCTATTCAATTGTACAGTGAATGATATTGCATTATTGGGAAGGCTGAGTGAAAGGTAATAGGTTTTGGTTGTCATTTGTCTTCCCTTTGGTGAGAGCCCATAGTCCTTACAGAGATTCAGTGTGAGGCCATTCATCTTAGCAGGAGCAGGAGGAGCATTGCACAGAGGTAAAGAGGAGTTATGAAGGGGGAAGGAAGGGAAAGGGTGCAGGGGAGAGTGAGAAAAAGGAGAGAGGGACGGGGGGGGGGGGTGAGTGGAGCCACTGAGAGACATGCAGAGGGTGAGAGAGGAGAGCAGTGACAGAAAAAGACAAATGCAACTAGGTTGACACAGGCAGAGACAGGGTGATGTAAAGTGGAAGCGACCCCTGAGCTGACGTGCTGCAGGTGACTCACCATGAATCGTAGGTCGTCGAAGCCATTGAGCAGGAACTTGCTCTCGTACTGCGGCAGCCCCACGTGCTCCAGCCACTCTCCGACCGGCTGGTCCAGGGCTTTACCACAGGCCCCATCTGCCGAGAGAGGGAAGCGCTTCAGCAGGGAGAAGCCGTTCAGCCGGTAGCAGCGGCACTCAGAGGACGACACATGGCATTGCCACATCATCCTCGGCCAGCAGAGGCAGAGCCGAGTGCAGCAGCACCAGGCGGGGTGGGGGGGAGACAGGGTCCAGGCCGGGGGTGAGGGGCTCCCAAGGTAAAGGCGGGGGCCCAGCTAACTCAAACACAGGAGGAGGGTAGGAAGTGCTGCAGGCCAAGCTCAAGCCCTGCAGGGGACTGACTAGGCTAATGTACACCCACTGGTGTTAATGTGACTGACTGGAAATGTCAGGCGAGGGTGGAGGTAGTGCAGGGAAGGAAGCCCATCTGAAGCTTGGTAACGTTAGTTATGTTGGACTAAGCCACTACGGCATCTTCCAACAAACAGGGTTCACTAAACATTCCTTTAGTGAGCAGATGAGCGAGTGTTAAAACAAGTGTCTAGCTAGTCCATTAACATAATACTACTGAACACGACAAGTCAAGAGAGTAAATAATTTTCAGGCTTAGGAAAAATGGAAATATTATCATTATGTCAGACATTTTCATACATCACAAATGTTTACTCTGCTAAAATTATCCCCGCCATTTTTTTCTAAAATTAGAAATAACACCATCAGGCTATAACACAGAAATATTCAGTTCCCCCAAAAGAAATCTGTCAGTGTTTTCACCACATACTTGTAAAGCTCTGGCTGAGTCCCATGGCTTCATTGGTCAACCTCTTTGAGAGCTAGGACACGGCTCATACAATGAAGGTAGCAGCATTCTAATGTACTGTTGAGGTACTTGTGTTATTTCTGATCAAGGAATACACATTTGATTAAAATACTTCTCTTCCTTACTCCAGACCCACAGGGAGTACGCTCAGGTAGACATATTGTAAGATCCTACTTCAAAAAAAGGAAGAAACGTTGGCTTAGGATTTCCACAGTGATACCAAACTCCTCAATTCATAATAAAATCCAAGAACAGGTTCCTCGATAAAGCTCCAGGTAAGCTGTCTACCAGTGAGAAAAACCTTGTTGTCCTTGGTGGTGCCAGTGCTTCCTTTGCTGCCCAGCATTCACACTCTTCTCCGGGCTGCTGAGGAGAACGTGCCTCTCATCTCTCAAAGCAGTAAATCCAGGTTCAGATCCAACAGACGGCAGGTGAGCCTCTGAGACTCTGAAAGCGAGGATGACTGCAGGACCACAGCTAGCTCCTTCCTGAGGCAGACGCCCCCCCAATCCAACCCCAGCCCACCTGGTTCTTCTCCTTGCTGGGTACAGCTAGCAGCCTGTGTGCTCAGGGCAGAGCTTTGCTGCATCCCCTGCCTGTCTGAGACATGCAGGCAGCGCAGATGCAGTCACAGCAGCTGCTCCTGGCTCTCACACGCTACCCCTCACTGCTCGCAGGGCATAACGTCCTGACGCCGACTACTTCTACACAGGAGACCTCAGATCTGCCTCAACCTCAGCCGCTGCTGCTGCTGCTGCTGCTGCTGCTGCTGCCACGTCCTTCCCACATCCACAACAGGCAACGGACTCAGTGATCATCCCCCCCCCCTCTTCTCATCCAAGCAAATCCCTCAAGCCCTTCTTTTTTGACTCCCTCCTTTCTCACTCTCGTCTCTCTCTGCTTTCTTTCTCTCGCTCTCGATCTCATAACCCCATTCCCATAGTGTGTGATCGCACTGCAGGGTTGCCGTATGCTGCCTGATGAAGTGGGGTGCTGCTCCACGTAACCACTTTTTCTCTCTCTCTCTCTCTCTCTCTCGCTCTCCCTCACTCTCCCACTATATCAATTCCCCTCCCTCTGTCTCTCTCTTTCTCTCTCTCTCTCTCTCTCTCTCTCCCCCTTTCTGGCTTGCACTCTCTCTCACTGTCTCGCTCTCTGCCTCTGGTTCTCAAACACACAGACAGATGCACACACTCTTTTTCTCTCTCTCTTCACCATCTATCTCTCCTCTCTTTCCATCTCACCCCCCTTTCTTCCTCATCCAAATGCACACACATTCACTCTTCTCTGTCTTTGTCTCTCTCTAACCTTACCCCACCTCACCCCGTCTCTCCCTCCACTGCACTGATTAGAATTGCACAGAGGCACTCTGATCTTGCCAGTGCAGAAAGGACACCACCATCAGAGGCAAGGAACAAGCACTGAGAGCCTGGAATCACAGTCTTTTCTGTAAAGGATGACTTGAATGTAAAGGGATGGCTAAAAAGAGGATCCTCTTCTGCAGGAGGAAGGCCAGTTGTTTTTTTTAAGCTAACAAAAAAACCTTCCGAAGCCCCTGCTTTATTATCAGATGGCTTTAATTCATACATCTTACTTTGATGAGAGGACAAGGGGGGGCAGCATTGACTCAAGTCAGCAGAAGTCTCTAATTCACTTGTACAGGAGATGAAGAACAGGAGAGGGGCAAAGACACACTATCACACTTCAAGCCTTGTCTTCTTACAGAGTCATAAAGCAAGACAGAAAAAAGGAAATTCCATTATGTTCTTCCAGATGCTTGCGTCAAATCAACCATTTGAAGCGCACAACAGAGGACACTTACTGGTTAAACAAGCGAGATAATGTAAAATTTAGATTTAGGTTTGGGTAGAAGGGATCCACAAAAAAAAACAGCGTCATTAGACTCTGAAAGAATTGTAACAGTCTACTCAGGGAGTGGTAGGCTTTCAAATCCACCCACCTATGCAGGGTTGCTGGATGCGTCCATCACTAGTGTTATCTGGGTACAGCTGCAGGCAGAGCGTAATTATGCAGGCTTTCAAGCTGCTTGCAATAACCTCACACACTCCCAGATGGGCAGTCAGTAAAGCAGTCAGGGCAAGGAGAGGCAATGCCAACAGAGGGAGGCAAAGTGACGGGCTATTGATTGAACCTCCCCCGTAATTGGCCGCCCGTACCCCTGTTGCTCTGGCGTTAATGAGCAGGTAAAAGGCCAAGTCCGGTCTCCCTGACCTGTCCACCAGGACCACTGCACATTGCTTGTTATCAGGAAGAGAAGCTGCCGTCAGGAGTGCTCTGACGGAGGAGTGAAATGATGGATGGATGGAAGGAGCGAGAGAGAGACAGGAGAGGGAGAGAATGAGCAGATAAGAGACAGAAAGAAAAGACGACTGAGGGAGGAGGTGAAGAAACATATGGGCGAGATAAGATGGTAATAGAACGTAAGAAGGATTGAAGTGGACTAATTATGATTCACAACCTGATCCCACAACTCCTCCTTCGTTATGCTCTTCTCTTGAGCCTCAAACCAAAGTCAGCTCTTGCACCACAATATCCAGACAAACACTATGAAAACATACCAGCCACCTCTCCAGTTACTTCCATTCATTTGGGAGAGTAACACCTCCCACAGTAGTAGGATTTAATTACTGACTGACAGAGTATCCACTACTCCTTGGGGGGGGGGGGAACTGGAACACTGTCTTATCCTCTTTTAAACAGACCAAGCTGTCAAATCTATCCGAGTGGGTCTTTGCTTTTTGAGAACTGCTTGGTCTAGACTTGACTCCGAGGAGCGCCCGGAGAGACTTTTTCACAGCTGAAGAGGAAGAGGTTGTGCCGAGATAAACACCGTGCCTCTTTATCAGGGCAGGAGAAAAGCACTAGCTCCTTGTCAACACACCCAAGCACTGAAGAAAATGAGCCGCAAAGCTGAATTAATTCAGGGAAACTGAGGGCGGACTCTTTTCCTTTGAACGTCAGAGTGTGCCTGTACACAAACTGAGCTGATGCCTCCTGTGTGCTGTTAGCTGAGCTCTCTCTCTCTCTCTCTCTCTCTCTCTCCACTGCCTCTGTCTGTTTAAGCTCATTTACTCATTGCTCTCTTAGCACACAATCGAGGCACTGGTGACGGGCACACAACACAAACAACCTCATCCTTGAGCAAGCAGGGTGACACTGAATTGCAGGGCTGGTTTTTCAGCAGCAACAAAAATCTGGTGTTGAGATATCTGAAGATGAATAGCTGTCCTTGACTGCTGATATGAGAGGGACAATATACAAGGAAAAGGGGGCTGGAGTAAGAATACACAAAACAAGTATAAAGGATAAGGTTTTCCCAGTTCTGTCACAATAGAAGATAAAGAGACAATTTAGGTTTTGATCTTTGTGCAATCCCCTTCCTTGCTCTTTTTTTCTTTCTCTCTTCCTCTCACAGTGACAACTCTACAGTGTATCTGATTGTTCTCTTTCAGATCATGTTTTTTTAAATGTGACCTCTTTACCAAGCAACACCTACAAAAACGGTAACGAAACCATCCTTGCAAACTCAAGATCTTCTTGTGCACAATCTCAGATTAAAATCGGAGCAGCATCTGTATGACTCAGCTGAATCTGGGACACTTTCGGTGTCTATTAATAGCACACACCTATACATGTATGTGTGGAGGGGGGAAAAACAAACACAGAACATATTGCCACTTATGTAACATGGAATAGCCTCAGGTCTGAATGGTTAGGAAAGCAAATAATATAAGAATGCCTGGGTGTTCAGGAGGACAAGTAACAATTAAAATCATAAATTAGCACTGCAAAAAAAAAAAACTGTTTTGCTTCAGGACTGCTTAGCTAATATATTTTCTCCGTTTAACCTAAAATAATCTTGTGAATAATACTAATAAAAAAAATGTATTCCCCGCTTGCTTCTAATGAAATGGATTCATATATTTAAAAGGTTGTTTTGGTTGTTTGCTCTTTTTATTTATGAAACAGCTTTGAGCTTAATTTTGTTTATGAAGAAGCTTCATCATTAATGATAGCTTTAATCTTATTATAAACTTACAATTCAAACATTTTCATTTACTATCACATTCAGGTATTATTTATCCCAAGGACTGAATAAATCAGCTCTCTTCAAACACCTTATCTATGTGTCCATTTCAAGAATAAAATTTGATTTTGATTAGACGTGATTGCCTATATGTCTATGTACATTTATGACCGCCGCAGTATATTTCCAGAAAATATTTCCTGAGTCCTTTTTTTATCCAATAAGATCGATAAACAAGGAGACGATCTGAACTCGTTGTATATCTCTGAGGTACATGTTACGAGTGGTGTCATATTATGCTCTGCAGATAATCAGAGAAAGCAATTGTTTTGTGCAGCTGGTTGCAGACGATGTTATTCTTTTTTTCTTTTAATCAACATATTCTTATTAAAGCAAGTTCAAAACATACAGTGCAATTGGTATACAGTCAACAAAGATGATGTCATTCTGTACTCTCAGTTTTGGTTACGTCATCAGTAACAAGCCTCCCTGCAAGCCAATCGCCCGTTGTGATAACGGCATCATGAGGGAAACTTTTTGAAATGGAGGTGTGTAGTTTGAGCGCATCTATCAAAAAGGTGTGTGAAGATTGATGAAGATTGTCAAAGGTGAAGTGTGTGTGTGTGTGTGTGTGTGTGTGTGTGTGAGGAAAACAAGATGAGCAAATTAAAGTCATTTTTTTTTGCTTAATTAAGGCTAAAAAGCACAATATAAACATGATATAATGACATAATATAAAACCTAATGTGATATAATAGTTTGTTTTTAATTAAATATTTTCAAGAGGAAAACTAAATACCTCCCCCCTCCTGGCGATCACCACCACCTCAGGTACCATCATTCTGAGTGAAACATTGAACCAGCGTTTACTTAATTGCAAACTATTCTTTACATTTATCTAGTTAAAGTCTTGTACATCAGTATTCAGACCTTGTAATGGGGGTTATGTAAGATAAGTAATGTAAATACCTCTGGCACTCTGACACATAAAGCGTTAAATGCTGGTGCAGCAATTAAAGTCTTAACTCACCTAATTCCAATGTCATATCTTTTCTCTTTTTATTAGCCTTTACTAAATTTACTTTTATCACGACTACACTTTTACAGTTTCTGTTCCTTCTTAAGCTCAAGTGGTTTTTACGCTTTGCTGTGGTCAGCAGATTTTTAATCCATGAAGGTCCTTCACATTACTAATTAAAATATTATCTTGAAAATCTGATGAGGCTGTGCATAGGCCGTCGTGGACGAGCTGTTATACAATACAGTGTGATGAAACCACCTTATGGCAGAGTATCTAATGGAGGTAGGTTTACACTGTAGCAACTCTGGAGTGTAATCTAAACAAACTGAGCTGCTGCCAGCTGGCTTCTCCCTCCGCACCGCCTGAAGGACACCTGATGAAGCGTACTTTCAATTCAGACCCTATTGAGATACATAGTAACTCCAGGAAAAAATGTGACAGTCAGTGAGTTGCATTTAAAATTAGATTTTCCATAAAGCGGAAACATCGTGAGTGAAAATAACAACAGTAATGTGCCAAACAAATGTCAGCTTGAATCTCTGTGATTTATAACAAAACTACTCTCCATCTCTTCTGAGGATTTATTTGAATACTAAACAGCAGCTCTTGGAAGAGCTGCACACAAATGCAATCAGATAGAGGGTGAACAAAGTTTGGTTGCTGCTGACGTTATGTAAACATTCAAATAGGGCTGACCTCTAAAACTCAATGATACAAGTCAAGAGTTGAGCATTAGTGCCCACTGCAATAAGACTGTACAACAGCAGCCTATGACAACAATAACAATCCATCCTTGACACGAAACTTCACCCCCATAAAACACTACCCACATGACCTGCTTCATTATTATCATTGTATTATTGTATTATTATTATTATTTAGGTCAATATATATATATACATATACACTGTACAGTCTATATATTTTATTATTGTATTATACTAGTCTATATTATGTAACATTTCATTATATTACACTATATTGTTCATATTGCACTATATTATGTTATTTTATTATATTATACTACATTATATTATATAACTGCACTCTGCAGTACTGTGGTACAACACTGCCTCTCTTCTCTGCTGCTTACATGACTTGCTGCTATTTATCATACCAAGTCACTTTAATCACTTGTCACTTTATCTTGTCATTCTCTGCGAATACTGTCTCAATTCTCAATTCCCCCCAGTTAACTTCATCATTCATTTTGTACTGTAGATACTGTAGATAGATTTTTATTATTTATTTATTTTTAATTTTATATATATATTTATATTTATTTTCATTTATTCTGTTTAATGTGTATTTGAGCTTTCTTGTCTGTGCTGCTGTAACGCCTGAATTTCCCCTCTAGGGATCAATAAAGTAATATCCTATCCTATCCTATCCTCGCTCGTTGAATTGCTGTATTTTATTAGCGTTGTCACTGTCCATTAGCAATGAAGAAAAGCGTAGCAGCATGACAGGTTAACGTCTGAAAATGACTAAAAACACAAAACCAACTGTGATGGAAGCGGTTAAGGATGATGCTTTCCTCATGCATGAAAGAATAAGGCCTCCCAGCTATACTCATATGTGTTTGCTATTTTGAGTCACTCTTCTCCAGTTGTGATGTAAATTATGTCCACTAAACCACTTTTGAGCCAGATGGTGGTACAACCTCCTGTACTGCTTGCAAATTTGACTGACTCTTCAGGTGACAATACTGGAAGCAGCACAGCAGGAGAGAAACTCCAGGGTGTGCTGGGGTTTATAGATGACCATGAGCAAGAGTTAAGAGAATATCTGATGCAAACAAGTAAAAATAGGAGACCCTGAGTGGCTATAGTGAAGAACATTAAAGGTCCCATCTTATGCTTTTTCTGGTTTTATATGCCCTTTAGTGTGTTTTCCAAGTGTCCTGTGCATGTTTAGGCACATCTATGTGCAAAAATTCAAAGTCTGCAGAAACGCGGCTTCTCCTATGTCCCCCTGTTAGCTGTAGCATTAGCCGCATGTAACGCTCGGTTCTAGCCCCCCTCGATAAAAATTTGTCAGTGCGGCGTCATTGTCAGTGTGAGATCACTGATCTAAGCCCATTGGCTCGTTGTGGCAAGCCCTGCAGCTCATGTTGAAATTTCCGAGACGCGTGCTGAGCAACTGACCAATAACGACAGAGCGGATCGGCAGACCAATCAGAGCAGACTTGGCCCACGTGGGGTCTAACAGTGTGGGCTCAACAGAGTGTAGCTGACGGACTCAGAGCGTAGAGGGAGCAATGAGGAGCAGTACATGAAAACAGACACTTTTTTGGAACATTAGCTGTTGTGAACGTACAAAAGTAGGTACATAGATTAAATATACAAACCCCAAAAAGGGCAGAATATGGGCTCTTTAAGTTATTTTATAAATATCTTTTTTTGGCTGAATCTGAAATTAGATCTGATCCATGACCAAAATCTGTGATGTGATCGAAACTGTGAGATTTGTGATCCGTGTCACCTGTAAATTTCACCAGATGAAGGATTACAGTCATCAGACATCATGAAGTCAAGAGAGAAACGAGCTGAGCTTCAATACCCCGCAGCTCGGCTCACAGCCCCCCTAACAGCCGCTACAGACTGTCTCGCTGAAACTTGAAGTTTTAATCACCAGTTATGTTTTTGTTTTTGGAGAGGAGAAGCGCTCCACTGATAATTTGTCTCCCGATAGAACTTCTCTAATTAATAACCTTACCAGATCAAATTATTTTGAGTATAAATAAGTGAAAATCAGAGCCTTTAAAAATGTGTAAGACAGCCCAAGTGCACATCAATTACCATTACTATGAGGTTCAACAAACAAAAAGTGTCTGGTTTCTTCAGGCCTCTATATGTTAGGAAGAAAATCTGAAATAATTCAGCATAATCAAACCACGACATGAAAGATCTCATTAAGTATAGAGCAAAATCATGATCGGAAAGTCTGTAAAGGGTACATCCCTACACAAACTATGCAGCGTATTATCAAAGCAGCACTGAGGGCAGATAAGAGCTTTATAAATGGTTAATGCATAACACTCACTCAATCCCCCAGACCCACTTGTCTTTTTACATTAACTAACCAATAAATTACACAACACATGGTTATCTCTGGAAGAAAAAAAAAATCCACTAAATTCAGTATGAATTAAATGCTCCACCAGCATGGAAATGTAATAGTTTGAGAAGCTTTACCTGAACTTGGTGTGGGCTGTTTCTTTTTGGACGTTTCAATGCCTGCTCCAATCAAGTTCATGATCTTCTCAATCTGTTAGAGAGAACAAATATAAACCTTTAGACAAAAAAAGAACGCCGACAAACTCTTGCATAAGAACTGAATACAGAACAGTGGGCATTCGATGTTGATCTTCACTCAGTATCTTTAAACATTTGTTATTAATTCAACACATCCAATGAACTCCTATCTAGCCCTCCTCCTTTCAACATATCAAAAATAAAAACAGTAAGACTGGAGGAGTAGTGCTGTGTGAGGGGTTAGGAGAGAGAGTTGCCGCTGGGAGAATTGGGAAGATGTCCTGGATAACAAGTAACATTCAAACATGGAGAGTAATTTATTGAGCAACCCGCAACAACTCAGCAAAAACACAGCAAGGTGATAAGGTGAATTACAACCCAGAAGCTTTTAAAACGCCAAACTGTTTGGGCCTATTAAAGACAACCTTGTATTCAAGTCCAATCCGACCCTCCAGAGATTCAGATCTGTTTCTGACTGCTTCTCGGTGAGGATTTGATTGCCCTCTCAGACCTGTATTATTTAAGCTTCACAGAATAAGGCAACAGTTTATTGCAAGGTTAGTTGAGCACAATGCTGCATGCAGGAGATTACAGAGAAATTCAGAGCAGAGTTGTTTAGGGGCTTAGAGCCACGGCTGTTTATTCAAATAGTCTCTGACTTTCTATGCGAGCAAAAATACATTTCCAGGTGGTTTACTTTTGTTTACTTTTCTTGTCAGCTGAACAATCACAAGTTCCAACAAAGTGCTTTTGGTGCAGTACATTATCAAACACTGTTGGGGCTAAAGCAGGACATGCAATGGCATTTTGCCCCAGTTTAGTGGAAAAAAATGTTTGTTTTTTTCGTGGGGGGGCTCCCTTGCCAAGTTTTATCAAAATATCAAAACCACTCTCATTTCTGTCAGTTAAATGAGAGAAGTATGACAGAGGGTGCTTTGTGACTGCACTATAAATAACTTCCCGTGTGAACAAATCTTGATGAATTCACTTCTACTCTGATAAAAAATAAGTGGAAAGACCAAATTTTTTCCCATTAGGAATTGCTTACAGGTCAGGGTCACCGGACATTTACAGTACAGGACATGACAGCATGATTGTGCACACTCATGTAGGAAGTAGTGTGTGCAAAGAATTGTTTCTAATGTCTAACCTACGCTTACTGATATCAACAGTGTTGATAATGATATTAGACACATTTTAGTTCTTTCTGCGAGTTAGATGAGAAGATTTGATGGCACTCTTAGGGTTGGGAAAAGTCAATTGTATTGACATGTGAACCTGTCTAAAGGGAAACACTAACGTTGGACAATGATATTCTTGCAGGGGAGCAATGCAGGAGCAACAGCATGAGCAGGCTTTTGAAACTCACAAACCAAATCTCAAAATAAACACAAACAAAAGCAAAACAAAATAAAGAATAAAGTCAGTTTCTTTGCGGCTCTGATGCTCCCCTGCTCAAACAAAGTCTGTGGAGTCCATATCTGCTGTTTAACTAGACAATTGTGGCTACATAGTTCGGGTTTAACAAGGAGGGTGAACATGTTACCTTCCAAAGAATGTCCTGAAATTAGATGCTCTCAAATCCCAGATAAAGAAGAAGACTTAAAAAGTCTCACATTTCTGGTGGAAATCTGATAAATAAAGATCAAACAATGACTTGTCTTTGTGTATATATTGCGAGGCTTTTTGCAAAAAAGGATCAACACAGAGCTCTGTACACGACACAACTTCAGAGTGTTCATGAGAAACAAAGTTGTTTTGCAGCACCGTTATCCCTCGCTGGATGCAGATGAGTACCCTCCCTGTGTGAAAGGGAGGCAAGCTCAAGGTCGCACGTCAATTAGGAACTTACTGACATGGATACTTTGTACCAGGGAGTTACATTGGATAGACACAAACAGAGATACTCTGATGCATTCAGGTGGACACTTTTACTGACGTGATTGAAAGAAGACTTCATATAAACTCGCTAAAATGGTTTAGAAGGACATAAACTCACTAACATGGTTTAAGAGGACACCCTTGTTCCCATTACACATTTTAAACTGAACTTAAATAATTGAGCGATAGTTGTGTGAAGGGGGCTTTTAAATCCCAGTGTTGGGATTGCAGTGTCAGTGGTCGATGACTGTCAGGTGATGTCAAGAGTCTCTTTCATGAACACCTAAGACCTTAATGATGATGGTGACAATGGGTTTTATATTATTGATGATAGTAATGACGATGGTTTGTTTGATAACGACAATTTTTAAGATGGTTTCTATACTGATTAGAGCTCTCAAGAAACCGCAGTTGTGCTTTGCCTTTGCGCAATACCTGTCGGCACCTGTGTGTCCAATCGGACTCAAAGCTGATCATTTGCACTAACTGACATTGTTTCCTCTTTTCTAGACCCTTGGCATCCGCTAAAAGAATTGTAGAATTGTCCTCTGTACAGTTAAATGAAGCCACAGCCAGCAGCTGATTTGCTCGTCTTAGCACAGAGTACAAACAGCCAAGCCAACTTGGTCAGAAGGTTAGATAACCACCAGTAAAACTACCAGGACTTCTACAGCTGAGTGATTTACTGTGTCATTATGCATCTCATTTGTTTAATCCAGACAAAAAGCCATCTGCTATTCTTTGGGGGGGTATCAGTGACTTCCTGTCAAAGTCATTGTTTTGACAGCAAGTCACTGTTTCAGTTTTACAGTTTCTGTTCCTTTACTCACTCATTAAAGCAAAGTGGCTACAAGGCAAATGAGAGAGCGACAGCTGAGAGAACGGTTGAAAGCTTCTCATTGACTCAGAAACCAAGTAAGTAAGCAGTACACTTCCTTAAATGTCAACGTACTCTTTTAAATACAACAGCATGGGAACTGAGTAGGATGGGGGCATTTACATCAGATGTAAAATATATTTATCCCAATCTGTCCTGTTTCTGTTCCCTCATACGCATTAATTAACAAGGACTCTCTCTCATCAATTCGCTTGTATTAGCTTGTATGGATCTTAAGTCTTATTCCTGATATATAACATATGCAAGCAGTCTGTGTCTTAACAAATATATGGCATATTTTAAATAATACATACATATCTTGGCAACTTATGTACAGAGCAACACACTGCTGGCTGACACGTCATGCATCAAGGACAACAGGATCTCATGCACAGAACAAATGCAACATTTGCCCTATCATAAAATATCCAACAATACACACTAGCATGTGTGGAAAAGAGTATATCTCAGTCTTCATTTGACAGTTTTAAAACAAGGCAAGTAGCAGGCTCAGCCTGGGAACACCTTTAAAAACATCTTGCAAATCAGGCTGGAAACTAAATTTAGAATCACTGGAGTAGTCTATTCACAATCAGTGAGGAAGATTTTTGCAAGCCTGAAAAGCTGATTCTGCTTTCACTAGTGACACCAGAGACACAGCCAGGCTTATTTGATGTAATATTTAGTGTTTGAAAAAGCCCCATGCACTTCGCTAGTGGCATCAACACTGTGGAGAGGCCTTGATTCATTTGGAAGTCAGGCACGTGGGACGCGTAGCATACGCCTTAAGCAATACAGACCTCACATTACTCTCTGAATTAACCCAGTTACATTCTATATCATACACACACTCAGCAGGACTGCATTACATCTGAACCTAAGTGCACCTTATCATAACCTGTCACCAAAATGCTGCGGAGGGAAACCAGCAGCATCATAATTAGTGTGCTGACATATGTTGTATCAGCCGGAGTCACTGTATGAGTAGCTCGATGTCTGCTGAAGTATAGTTTGTATTTTGTTTTCCAATTAATTGTTTTCATCAATTTAAAGTTGCCATGTGAACTAAATTCAAGTGCTTCATTAACCATTTATTAGATTTATCCATCTACCCCAAGAAGTTCGCAGAGGGCTGAAGGCATTTCCAGGTGACAGTGGACCAGACATTCAGTATGTCCTTTACTTTAACACTCAGACCTTACAGGTATCTAGAATCGCTATCTAACCTTTCACTGTGTGACTGTACCAAAACACCTAGAGAAAGAGACAAGGAAATCGGTGGGTACAATATAATGCAATTAGGGCTGCAGTAACCAATTCTTTTAGTAATCAAGTAATATATTGATTATTCTGGTGATTTACTTAGTATATATATATATATATATATATATTAAGTATTTTGTTCCTTTCGACAGAGTGCCCTATAATAGTCCTGATTTAAACGAAGCCTTGAGGCAACAAAAAATAACCTTGAGGCTTTTTAGAAATCGAGGTCCTAATTTGTTTCGAGGAACCGTTTCAGCCCTATATGATACTCTATGATGCTGTCTTTGTCTTTTTCTATTTTCTGTTATAAGGCTGTCAGTTTCTTCTGTGGCAAATTAACTTCTGTTCACATTACCCTCAGTCCTGATAGTCCTTGAAAGTCCCTATCCAAAACTATCCAAGCCAAATACTAAAAATGCACCATGCCACCCCATTCTTTTTTCGACAGCTGACTTTCTATCAACATCCTTTAACAGCAGGTACAAATAACAACCCGTTTATATCAATAAGAGGCAACAGAAACATCTCTGTATTATACAAATGTTCAACAGGGAAACCAATACAATCCCTTAAAGAGACTTAGTAAATGTACATGGGATAACATTTTAAGTTTAAAGACCCCAATCTGTAAACCAGCTCTAAACCGAAAATTAATTGAACTCAAAGACTGCTCTCCAGTGAATGTCTGGTAGCAGGAAGGAAACTATCAGAGGATCTATTCACACAGAAATGTATCTGACGGTGCAGTTATGAATCAAATGGGGCTCTGAGTGGACTGTCATTAAATCAGCAGTGCTCAACTCTGACTGATAGCACTGTATCCTGAAGTGATTTACATATTAATACAGGTTGATCTGCTCTTTAATACCTGCACACACTGCAAAGACTTTCCATTTATGACTTGTTCTGTTCAAGCTTGAAACAGGTGGACAAAGAAAATGAGTAAAATCGCAGACTGACTTTTTAATAATTACAAACTATGAAATCAA